GACACCGCCCTGGGGTACACCAGCAATCACCTCACCATGTCTGGAGAGGACTCCCGGGAGCTTAACCTGCTGTGTTCTGCCTGATAGGCAGCTCTGTGTCCATTTCCAAAAGCTCATGGTGATGCCCATGCCAGCGAGTTTAGTCAACAGAACGCCATGATCCTCCAAATCGAAGGCTTTTCGGAAGTCTACAAAGACCACATGCACGCCATTATATAGACTTCCAGAATCTGTAGCGTTATACCAGTCTTGTGTGATGCTGGCAAGCGCAGTCATAGTAGATCTGTCCGTCGTAAAAGCGTGTTGAGAAGCATTAAGACTTAGGTCCTTTAGGTTTAGCTTAAGCTGGATCCTCTCCAGTACCTTGGCGACTTGTGGCAAAACTGAAGTCTGCCTAAAGTCATTGTTTATATCCGTCGGATTATCAACCTTAGGTACCGGGCTGACTAAAGCATGCTTGTAACTAGTAGGATACTTGGACTGTACTATACTGGCACAAATAATATCGTGTACAACAGGTGCCGGTTCTTCGTTAAACCGTTTAAGGAGCCGCGCAGGCACACCGTCTACACCTGTTGCTTTCCTCGGATTCACATGTTTGAGTATGGCTTTGACTTGCCCAATGTATGGAACAGGCGGAGGTCTGTCGTCCAATTCATTGGCAACCTCGCTGACTGACAGTGCGGTGGGCTCTCGGTCCTTCCAAGGAGCAACAAAAGCATCAAGCAGAAGGTCCGCTGTTTTCTGTAGTTCAGCATTGTTAGGCGCAGTTGGGGTTCTTGATAACTGCTGAGCACCACAGAGCGAGTAGATATATTTAAACCACTTGCTTGGATTCGTATAACGGAGATCGCAGGCCTTCCTTTCGTAAAATTTACGCTTAGCACTAGATATAAGGGCTGCTACCATTCCACGCTTTTGTTGATGTTTTTCCTTGTCACCTTTAACCCAAGCCTTTTGTCTAGCACGTATCTGATCTTTAATATGCGGCGTCATCCACTCCTTGTCACTAGGATGCAAACGCACGTGATGCAGGGGAGTACAGGTGTCAAGAGAATTAATTATTATGTTATTGAATGCCTCAACTTTTTCATCAGCATCAGATGCTTCGTAAACAGCACTCCAGCTTTCCAAATTAAGTTTAAGCCCTAAAGAACGTAGATTTTCAGGCTTAAACGTCCTTACAGATCTAGATATTGCTTTCCCATGCCGCTATTGGTTTAAAGGAGAGAATAGGATGCACTGATGATCAGATCGACCAAGCGGTGGTAGAAGTTGTGCTTCACAATATAGCTCACCCATATTCGAAAGAAATTGATCTAGAATATTCTGTCCACGTGTAGGCATTTTGACTAATTTGCGTAGGCTGAATCTTTGACACAGTTGACGCGGGTTGAGGTGGTTAAAGTCCCCGGTAATTATAATACCCGCCGAAGGTCTCTCTATCAGCAAGTTGTCTAAGCGCTCAGTGATGTGATCAATCAATTCTCTCTCCTCGGTACACGTTTTCCCTGGCGGAAAATATAAAGCAGCCGTAATTATGCAACTGAAAGGTCTTGGAATCCGAGGTGGCGTATGAAGTAACTACAGAACCACAGTATGAATCGTCCAGGCCGTGTGAATGACCTTGATGATCAGGAGTGTTAAAAAGATAACAGCAATCGGTAAAGAAAACGTGAAAAAAAAAAAAAAAAAAAAAAAAAAGGTTTAAAGGCGAGGGTGGTATCCTACGATGTATTTGCATCCTGAACATAGTTGTCCCTTCATGTTACTGAAACTGGGACAAGCTCAGCCAGGATATTAACCTTGTGGCTCGTCGGCTGATTCTATCTTTATACATTATGATTACAGAAATTAGAAGAACACACACACAGAAAAAAACTATTGGCTCGCTCGTCGACTCGTCAACTGGGGAGAAAAGGAAAAAAAATTAAAGTCCAATATTTGTGTTATTTGAATGTGGCATGTTGCACTTTATCTTAAGATGGAAATATTAGATATTTCTCTCACCTCTTTCGCAGTATTTTCCGACATAACCTTCATTACAGAGACACTTAAAGGAGTCATATTTGTAATTCGTCACACAGATGGCTTCTTCTTGACATGGCGAGGAAGAGCAAGGGGACTAGAGAGAGGAAATGTGTAATACACTCGTAAAAGGTCAACCAAAATACACTGATAAAGAAACTTTAAAATAAATCGAAACATGCTACGTGAAATGACAAATCCTTTACCTTCAGGGAAAAGTGGTGAGCATTTCTATTGCCCTCTTGATACAAAATATTCTAACCTACGTTGAGAATAACACATTGGTATCAATCATATATGACTAATAAAATATTAAGAGTGGTTCCTCGGACGCATTTTATATCACGATTTTAACATACACAATGGTTTGCACTGAGCTGCTCGATGGATATATATCCATGTAGACACCATTTTAAAGGCCGCACATTTTAATATACAAGTGGGACCAAAACAAAATCAAAATGAAACGGGTGCGAAATTTTTAGCTATAAGCTGAATACAAATCATGAATGGTTCACAAGAGAAAATCCCATCTCTTTGATCACATGGAGCGAATAGCAAGCAAGGTTGAAAGTCCTGTGACAAGCATACTTAACAATAGGACAATCGGGAGTGGTTGGAGAAGCATCGTTATTCGCATTTGTGGAATCACACTAGACTAGCAACCTGTTTCTGAACGATTCGATGAAACTTTTATCGAGATCAAACAGCTATTCAGAACGATGGAACCTGCGCAAGTCAACGTGTCTCTTACTTTGTTTCAAAACGGGTTTTCCTCTGCTTACTTTCTCTTTTACTTTAGTTTATTTTTCTCTGTCGTCACGATGATTGCTTTTAAGTTCTTAGTTTCGACATGCATGTCAAAGATTTGGAATATCAAACCTGAATATTATCATGAAACAGATTTTCTCTTTGTGAAAGGGAAGCTTATGCTTATGCACACAAGGTGTTAGGAATCGACATGTCACTAACAGCTGGCATAAGAATCTCGCAAAAAGCTAGCTTTTTATGAAGCCATACTTACCTTTAGGAAAGGCTGTGGCGAGTATCTGAACAGATACAAGGAATACGATGGGGCAATTCATTGTAGCCTTATACATTGCGAAAGAATATCTCACGAAATTTAAATCCTTTGTTTACTACCGAGAAAAATCTCTTCCACTTTGTTTGGAGGGGAAAAATTGAAACTTCTAAGTCTTAATTTGATTCCTTCAGCTTTTCTTTCCTACACACAAGACCTGATCTCATCCAATCAGGACTCGGTAATATTGCTGTTGCTTGGTGCGTAATAAACCTTTCATCGTCTTATGCATAATTAAGAAAAAAAATTAAAGTGAAACTATCATATATTTTCTCGCTTAGTATGTGTTATTGCTGAATTTTAAGCAATAGCAGTTTATTAGATAGATCTCGTAGTGTGAAAGAATGGCGTGAAGCCAATTTTTTTGTTAAAAATTGTTTTGTTCAATGTTCTTTCATAGTTTATTGTGTGCCTAGAGGAAGTTGATAGGTGTCAACTTTGCTATGGCTATCGATTGAATTATGCTTTTCTAGTTGTCGGGGGGCCTTTATAAAAGGCTGCCATGTTACTTTTCTTTCTTTGATTAATGATTACAAGGGTGATAAAAATGCATCTGCAGATAGACTTTCGTCCAAAGAGAAACATGCAAGTGTTATAATGCCGTCTGAAAACGGTACAAGGTTCCTAAAGCAACTGACATAAACAAAAACCAGGCAGAATAAGCCGGAAAATCCCTCCCATTTGATCATCTGTGGAACCACAATTCCAATACCCAGGAGCCACGTGGTGAGAAAAATGTAAACACACCTACCCATCAACGCTTATTACCTTCTGCCTATCTACGGTGTTGAAATTTAAATAAAAATTTAAATCAGTTTGAAATTTCGAGAACTGAGGAGAATACATCTTAAATGTTTTTCAAAACCTCGGGAATTCATGGATTACGACGCATGTCCTATCCTTTGAGCCAGTTTTGCTATTTTCAGGCATTACGTTAGGTTTTGCTCCTTGATGAAATACCGGAAAAGTTCAACGGGAAGGCGATCCTTATGGAGTCTATAAAAAGGATTCCTAAACCATCTAGGTTTCTTAAAATTAGCGAGTTATTTCAAGGTCTAAAATGGGGACTGACCACTGCTTTATGCGCCAAAATATTCAAATGTTAAAGAGAGGGGCTCGCGTGAGGTTGAAACCAATAGAAAAATATTTACATTCACCTGTAGTTTTAGTTTCTGCTGGTGCACAAACATTTCTCACTCATTTGTCAGAGTTATTTACAGTCTAGAACCTACGACGCATTCATCCGTTTAATTGCCTGATGCTCGTTAGAAAATAGTCATTTTAGAACTCTACACAATATGGGGCCCTTCTCATGATGTAGCCATTGGACAATAATGCTGGCAGACAAATTGAAGAAGGAATTCACGAATAGTGTAGCTTCAAAAACCGCAGGTGAAAAAAATGTTCAGTGCACCAAGATGCTTAACATTCGAGTCGCTGAGTCGCTACTGCAATTTACTTTAGGGGTAAGTTATCAACTGAGTTGATAACGTAAATTGGCCACCGTAAAGAGTTTACAGGCTAACGTTTCGAGCGTCAGCCCTTGGTCAGAGCTATAACCTTCATTAGAGTGTTAGCCTTCATCTATCAATCTATCATCTATCATCTATCGAAACACTTTGACGAGCTATTCGTATGGGCAACCAAATAACTTCGAATGTAATTCAAAATACACAATTTTCGACGTGAAAAACTTTCAATATCTAAAAGATTCTTGCACCTTTGCTTGCTTCTTATAAACTGCAAGAGAAACCCCTCAAAGTTTCTACATTACTACGGTTAGTTACATCCAATTTCAACTTACTACTCTCCTTGAGATTATATGACACACAATCAGCCAATGAGCCTGCCCAAATTTGCGCGTGTTTATTGATTATCGTTATATCGGGGAACATATTGTGAATACGTATCCTACATAGTTTTTCCCTGAAATAGCGATATAAGAATAATACACGGGTCTGAAATTATCTCGCGATTCTGTGGTTGAAAATTCTTGAACTTATTTAGCTCATAAGTTTTAAAGATTCGATATCATGAAACGATAAATCGATGGATGATGAAGCTGTCAATGTAAGTCTCTTGGGGTACACTTTAAGCATGCTTTTAACAGTTCCACGATCCTCCGGCAGATCATATGCAATTAGCAAGACAAGGTGGTGTGAGTACAGATAAGTACCCATCATGCACTGCTTGGCCTCGACTGCTGATGTCTAAGGCTTAATGTTATGACTTCCACTTAACGTGGTCAGTTACCATTTCCCCGATTTAAGCTTTACGCCTGGAACTGACAACTGTCATATGACGGTTCAGTAGGCATACTAGTTGACTCTGACAGTAAAAATCATTTGCTCGCTTTGAGTTTGTTTCTTCTTGTCTCATTTCACGGGCAGTTACTAGTTTTAAAAGCTGATTGGCTCAGAAGCTTCTCATCTTTTTCTTTCTTGACAAATAACTATACGTTGTGTTCTCAAAGATGAAGAGCTACAAGAAAAACAAATATCGTCCCCAACAATGAAAACAATACATCATCTCAGAGGTTCAAACCACACACGTGCAAAATGATACCAACTTCAAAAACTCCCTTGTGAAAATGATACTAATATCAAAGACTTCGCTTAAAATTCCTTTAACTCATAGCACTCGCACTTCTCGGAAATTATTCATCGCAATTTGAGAACAGGCTTTAGGTAATGTAAGGAGATCTGCTGCTTTTAGTGAACTGTAACTGAATAAATGGGGTAAGTTTCTAAAGAAACTGTGGTACTGCGTCGATGGGAGAGTATAGCAGGGTAATTTAGCATCATCAACTGAGTTTATGACGTAAATTGGCCACCGTAAAGAGTTGAAAGGCTGACGTTTCGAGCGTCAGCCCTGTGTCAGAGCGTTAACCTTCATCAGAGCGTCAGCCTTCATATATCGCTCTAACGAAGGACTAATGCTCGAAACGTCAGCCTTTAAACTCTGAAAAAACAGAAAATCCTCTTTTTCAGCTCGAGTGTCGCAAGTATTGTGCAAATGGTTATAGTGATATCCCCATGAATTTGTGGGAGCAGTGAATCAAAGTCGAACGTTCTCGCATATCTTGGATCTTTCTTAACGTTATCAACCCAAATGTAAAAAATTCACTGCACAAAGATGTATCCAAAGGCATCTATGGCTCTGTCACCATTATCTGGGTTGGCTGTTGCATAGTTACCACATGTCAGGGATTCACCATTGATCGCTCCTGCACCAAGCCCAAGCCAGGAATCAGCACGTTTGCAATCCTCTTCGTTGTTGCCTATGATGCCGATTCTTACCCTCGCATGACCAATGTGTAAACTCACTGCATTAAAACCTTCCATGTTACAGTTCGATTGAAGAGATGCATCTAGACCAATCAGCTTCTTCCACGTGTCACGTCCCAGTGACGTATTGCGGTATATCCCATCAACTATCAGTGAGTACAGAGACTCGGCCTGTTTGTTCATCACAATAAATTTCTTGTTCTGGCCGATCCTCATACCGAGGCAGATTTTAGAGAAAGAGGTGTTCCAGAACGTCGGTAACTTAGTTTCCTGTGAATCAAACCCAGTCCTTCCTCCAGCAAGGTTGTAGCTCTTCTTATCGGTCCAATACTCCGCGTCATAATGGAAAGTTCCCTGTCGTGGGTTTAGGAAAAAAAAATGCCCTTTTTCACTCGATCAGTGAGTCTTTGATCTTCAATCTTGGAGGTATACAGGTAACGATCAAAAAAATCCAATCATAGAAATTAATTAAGGTTTAAAAGGGTACTTTCAATAATTTTAGGGAGATAAAAGTAATAGGTATTGGCCACCGTCCAGTGGCAATATAATACGAAGTATCAGTTAGTTATACATTAACTCTGTGCTGATTATGTGCACTCGTTTCTTATTCTATAATATCAGTTTAAGTTCGCCGTTCAACCTTCAACCTTTGTCATTTACGCACCATTATTCACCCGTGTGCCGCATCAGGTAGGAAACAGCCTCGGTCTCAGTACCTTCCCCTTGATACAGCTTGATTTTTTTCCGGCCAACAATAAATGTAATTTTTGCATAAATATGCATGATTACCTTGTTCTTAGTGATTAGGATTACAATCTCACAAAAAAACACTCATTCCTCATACGAGAAGTAACAGTGACTTTTTTCGAATTACTTCTGGCGTAAAAGTAAACATTTAGGGCTCCTTTTATTGCATGTTTAAATAAACTGAAAAGAAACCCATACCAATTCGCCATTAATCTTCATGACTGGTGTCCAGCCCCCATCTCCACATCCAAAGTTTCCCATTTGGCAAAGAACGTGAATCGGTTCGGAGCCAACCATCAGAGGGACGAGGTAACTAGAACTTGACCTGATCAGAATGAAAATTATGAAAAAAGTTCATGCCTTGCTGACGGAGAATTTGTTGAGAATCTCATCGCTTGTAACCATTGCTGGCACTCAAACTGCCTTTAATGGACAACGATATTTACAGAGAGCGAAACATATAAATTTAGTTCAGCAGATTATGGTTAGAAGGAAGTATAGTGGAACTTTTTTATTCAGTTCATATTTTGCGTAGAGCATACACTAGCACTCAAGAAGTAATATTGAAGAATTGATCATCTGGGTAAATGTCCTTGTATTCATTAAGTTCGACAAACGATGTCTATTATTTGCTTAGTGGGTTATGTTAGAAAGTTGCCCCTTAGAGTAGCAGCGCTGTAAGCGTTTTCAAAAAGTTCCATCGTTAGAACTTACATGTATTGGTCGTACACATCTTTGCATGACTCTGCAACTGTGAGAGATAGAAAATCACCTGTACCATTTAGCCTTTTCAGATTGAATTTAGAACAAAATCACAAGATAAAAGTGTAGAAAAGTGTGTCAGGTACTTTCATGTGCAATCTGAGTAATAAAACAACAACCTTGTTTTATCAATAGGGACCTTTAGTAAACCACGACGGCGACGGCAACGCGAACGTGGCGAAACAAAAGATCTAGGGAGCAGAGCAACAGCTCAGCACGTGCGTTTTAAAACTGTGTAAATCTCTTAGCCGTCCTCTGCAAAATAACAATCATCAGAAATTGAAATCATCAGAATTTGCGCGGTCTGAGGAAGGAAACCCCGACGGCAGATCATCTAAGTTTCCATTTGGAACTCAACGTCGCTCTCATACGTTCTGCTGAAGTAAACTTGCGGCGCTGTAAGAGATGGTAAACACATCCAGTCGTTCGCGAAATTCCAACAAAAAAATATATAGTCATTTTTAAATCGAGGTCTTCCTCGGCGTTGCCGTCTTAACTGCTAAAGGTCCTTAATATTTTGACGTATTATTTCAAAGACCTCAAAGCTGCGATGTTTATTTACCTTTTTCACAGTAATGTCCAAAGAATCCTTCTTTACAGCGACAGTCAAAGGTGTCATATTTGTAGGTAGACACACAAGAGGGCTGTAAAAAACAAAAAAACACACACACAAAAAACCACGTGTAACGCCTTAAGGGAAACGTGGTTTGATAGATAAGAGAATAGGCAGTTCACTAAAGATGCGATGAAAACAACGAATCATTGATGGACAAGAAACAGATTGAGCGAAGAAATTGGATATGCTATTTTGAGATTCTTTTGGGCCCAAAGTATTTGATCTGCTTGAAAAAAAAAGGCATAACTACTTCGTACTCTGATGAGATCTAAATATTCCGTAGTATGTGCACGAGTCTCATTAAAATGTACCAAGATCATGTGATCAAAGCAAAATAGTAGGATAGAACGTGAGGACAAGGTCTCTCTATGTATGTGCTGAGTTTCTTAGCTTAATCTCTCTTGGGCTGGACTGCATTTTTAAACGTCATGTAAACAAATTTGAAAATTTTACATACTTTACCTTGATGGTAAAGTGATGAGCATTTTCATTTTCCGCATATAGTGCCTTGTCTCTGTATTTATCAGAAGACAGTAACTCGCACCGAAGTTTTCCATCGGCTCCTTTGGAAGCGGCCACGTTCACAGAAAAACAAAAAACATTGCTGAGACATTCAAAGGCGCAGTCAAAGAAGTCGTACACTGAGGATATCCTAATTGGAGACACATTCAGATAGTGGAAGTCGTGCTTTAGAAACGCATGTTGTCTAACAGTTTGTCTTGCATCATCTCGATACAGAGTTGATCCTGTGCGGAAAAAAGGTTTGTAGCTGAATATCACATTGTCCACATTGAGATAGCATGGTTACTGCACGCACTCAGTCAATTAGAGAATGATTTGTATTAGGAAAACGATATATCTAGAACTAATTTTTCAACGGTCATAATGTAACAGATGATGTGCGATTTTGTGCATTGTGGCTTCTCTCAAAGAACTAACTGTTGTTAAAAAAAAAAAAAAACAAGTCACGGATAACATGTATAAAGAATCAGTAATACCAGATAATATGATTGGCATTGCAAATTGACTTAAAAAGACGACAGCAGTGTATGAAACAATATGCTGTCAGAAATCATAGTCTCAAAATCATATGAAAACCGAGTGATGTTTGGGATTGTTTGTTCCATGTTGTAAACATTTATTGTATTGATTGCAACGTTAACACTAGTCTTCCTCAGGCAATAAGGTCAACTGGATACACATCAAGTTGTAAGGCATCATACGCGACTGTGATTGGTTACTTTTCATGAGCTGCAAAACGCATTTCTTTCGTCACCCCGACAACTTCTATTATTCTAACAATGCTCCCTAGTAGCGGCAGTATGTTCGCTTTTCTTCTTTTGTGAGGAATGTCGAGATAAATAATTAATAGATAACGAATTATTCATTAAGGATCAGTATTTTCTGAAAGTGTTAGTCATGTAACGTTCAGTTTTTATTTTTTCCTTTTCTCGAAGCCATCTGCAGCCTTTTCTGAATAAAAGTAATGCTTACAGAAAGGTTGGTAATTCGATGAAAGGGAATTCCAGTTTGTATCTTGTTGTTTGGAAATGAAATTGTAGCTTTGTCTCCGTATTTGCTGTGTCATAGTCTCTGCTCTGATTTGAATTATGAATCCACTTTAGCTGTTTATCTCCTCAGAGACGAAGTACATGAGAAATGCCGTTATAGGGTTTTCAAAGTGGTACCAGTTTTAAAAAAAATATTGCCTTTTGTGTACCAAAACCGTGAATGCGACACGATAGCTAAGAAGAGACACGTTTGCAAGGAATTTTAAAAATACCGGAGAGACAGAAATTCACTAACCTTGAGAAAAGAATGTGTTTGAAGTAAGAGCAGACGGAAGGACTACGATGAAGACGAACATAAAATTAAACATTATGAAATCTTATCCGTTCTTCAAAGTTGTATTAAACTTTTATTCTGAGTTGAATGGTTTACGACTTTGTTTAGTAGCTTTTTCTGTGAGAGTTACAATTAAGGTGTTTTAACCAATGAACTTTCAATGATTTCATCAGTTTTTGGCCTTCAATAATTGATGTTGAACAGTTTTCTTTTTAAAAAGGTAGAGAAGGCAAACAATTTGTATTCAATTATTAAACATTTCTGTGTTTAAAGTTAAAAAAATTCATTTTTAAAAACGCATAGAAACAATGATGTTTAGTTGTGCGAAGGTACCAAAAGTTTCTTTTGCAAATAACGCAGATTTTTCAATTTTTTATGAAAATATTCCATTTGTAGATATAAAAGAAAATTAATGTAGACCTCTTGAACGAGAATACAAATTTCCTCAACTAAACGTGGTGCGCTACAATATTCGTTCCACTCTAGTTTCTATCTCGTTTCAGCGTTATGCATTTTTAATGATTATACGCAGGATCAACATCCCTCCTCATTCATTGTTGTTCTTTCTTTTTTTTATTTCAGACGAATTTACTACCGCATCAACAATATGCTCAGTGCCACATTACGAACAATACCAAAAGTTCTACGTATTTAAAAACACAACCACGCTTAAGAAATGTTATTCGAATACTACATGTTATTACAGCATTATGTAAATGGATCATAAACAGTATCTAATAAATTGTAACTAATTCTTAGTACTCACTTCTGTAACACTGAATATTGGCCTAACTTCTTTCGTACTTGTTTATTTACAGGCCACCTGGAACGATTCACTTTTTTCTCGTGAAAATCTAATGCTTGGAAATTAGGAAGAATTTTGTAAAATTAAAAAAAAAAGAAACACCAATATCATGCCAATAATTTCGTGAGATATCTCTTTTCGCCATGGAAACGCCATGTTATGAAACAAATCAACTCAAATGTATTGCAGAATAAAATAATCCTTCATAATTAGACACTCTCTCGTGCCAACACAAGGAGGCAAATATTTACCTCCTTCGTTTACGACACATCATCTAAGTCTTTTTGAAAGATTTTTCAACTGATGAGTAAGGCTTAAGAACCTATTGTCCATGTTAAGATAGAACATCTATCATGAAACAGTCTTTTCTTCTTTGTTCGTCCCATCATCACTGCACCAATATGAACCCCATGGTTCTAATATGTTTGTCACCTTTATTTGATCTCCTTATTGCCTCGTTCCCACACGTGTTGTTAAAATCAGGATGGCCCCCGGTACCAAATCCAATTCTGGAGTTACAATTGGTGCAGTTGCGTCTATTATTACCAATAAAACCGATTCTTGCTCTAGAATTCTGCGTAGGGGACCCCTTATGAAGACATTGTACATTAAAACCTTCCTTGTTACATTTATTTTGAAGAGATGCTTCCGAACCAATCAGCGCCTTCCACTTGTTTCGACCTAATGAAGTTTGGCGGTATTCCCCATCAGCTATCAGTGAGTAAAGAGACTCGGCCTGTTTGTTTATCACCATAAATCTGATGTCTTGGTTGATCTTCATACCGAGACAGATTTTAGAAAAAGATGTGTTCCAGTACGTTGGTAACTTGGTCTCCATTGAATCAAACCCAGTACTTCCTCCACCAAGTTTGAAGGTGTTCTTATCGCTCCAATACCCCGAGTCATAATGAAAAGTTTGCTGCCAAATAATATCAAATAGTTGCCTTAATAAATCTTAAGATGTTTCTTCTTTAATCTAGAAGATATAACTGTTTATTCACAAGTGATAATTCAGTTTATTCACAAGTGATAACTGAAAAAAAATTGCTTTATTCGTTTCAAAGAGAATTTTGCGCTGGTAACTTGTGAGATGAAGTGTTTTCAGGGAAAAAGGGGATATGCTATTTCGGTATCCTTTCATTAATATTTAAGACGAAAAGCAAACACTGCCGATGCCACCATCAGGAAAAAAATGAGTAAGATCTGTTTTCAAGCAATTGTCTGCCTTTACCAAATTATATTCTTGTCATATTGTACCGAAGGAGAAATCGACGTCAAGACATGCGTTAGGATTTCCATTTGTAGTTCACTTGGTAGGAAATCTAAGGTTTTAAATTGCGTGGAAGGGACTCCACCAGTTATGGCAAGTTTCTACTACTTGTTTCTTTGTATTAACGTTTCCAGTTGTTTCTCGTGTGGTTGTTTATTTTCAAATAAGTAAGTTACCAAATGGAAATCGCATCGTACATACCTTGTCTCCATCAATCTTCATCACTGGTGTCCAGCCTCCTCTTCCACAACCCAAATCTCCCACGTGGCAGAAGACGGTCAATGGTTTTGAGTCAACGATAAGGATGACCAGCTGACTTGTGTTCAGCCTTCGAAACATAATAGAGAACGTTTTAATTTCATGCATAGAGAAGCTTGCATCCTCTCTCATAATTATTACCTAAGCTGGCAGTTAAGGAATATGAGAGGCTCATCGACAAACTAGCTTAAAATGCATTCTGATTGAAACAGGTTATCACCGATGAACGATTAAGCGAGGCTGGCTCATCGAAGACTTGATATGGGTGAAGCCTTTTGTTCATATGTTGATAGGGGTAGGCTACTCAGTAGCCTCGGAGGCATATCTATGCAATAAAGGCAGTGAGTTTTTTCTAAAAAAAGTTGTGATGCTACATTCGGTGAGGGGTATTACAGTAGATAGCTTGGGGTTGATAATTTAAATTGGTCTCTGTAAAGAGTTTCTAAGCGGACGTTTCTAATGTTAGCATTTCGTCTTTCGTTCTTACGAAAGGCTAATGCTCGAAACGTCAACTTTAAGTGGCCAATTTCCGTTATCAACTGAGTTGATAGAACCTTATTATATCTATGCAATCAATTGACATTATTATCTCCAGGCAAGAACACTAAGATTCATATAAAATATATCACACATAAGTAAGAATGATTTAATTATTACTGCAAGACCATTTACTTATTCCTTACTTGTTTAGCTCAAACATTTCTCTGCATGACCTGATGGCTTAAAGAAATAACAAATAAGACTTTTATTTTGTGGTTGGGACAGATGTAATAACCTCGTAAATAGTACCCAGGACTCTGGATTGAAAGATATAGTTTCTCATCCTGATCAGGTTACCAGGAATGTAAAATTGGTAACAGCAAACTTTAAGAAAATCCTGGAAAAAAGGTTTAGGAGCAGGGGTAGTATCCGACGATGGACTAGCATTCTAGCCTCGGGGGAATTGCAATATTCGTAGTTGCTTCATTTGCGACATATCTTATTTTATCTTAAGATGGAAATATTAAAGATTTCCCTCACCTCTTTCGCAATATTTTCCGACATAGCCTTCATTACAGAGACACTCAAAGGAGTCATATTTGTAATTCGTCACACAGGTGGCTTTGTTTTGACATGGCGAGGAAGAGCAAGGGGACTGGAGAGAGGAAATATGTGAATCAGTCTTGAAAGGTCAAGCACAATAAACAGATAAATAAACTTGAAGAGAAAGAAAAACATTGCATTACGTGAAATGAAAAATAATTTACCTTCAGGGAAAAGTGATGTACATTTCTACTTTCTGTGTATTCTGTGTTGTTCTTGTATTTATCAGAAGACAGTAACTCGCACCAAAATTTCCCATCGGCTTTTCTGACAACAGCCAAGTTGGCAGAAAAGCAGAAAGGGTTACAAAGGCATTTGAAGGTGCAGTCCATGACATCAGACACGCTGAATGTTTCCACTGGAGACACGTTCAGATGATGGAACTCATCTTTAATAAATACATGTTCTCGAAAAGTTGGCGACGAATCCTCTCGATACGAAATATTAAACCCTATGTTGGAAATATCACATAGAATCGATTATACGTGAGGAAATATATTACTAAAGTGCTCTAATGAAAGTGACACATGCAATGTTGTGCACTGAGCTGCTCTATGGATATACAGTTATGATATACAAGAGCAAAAACAAAAAATGGGAAAAGCCAAATAGGAATTTATTGCGCATAAAACTAACCTACGGCTATATGCCCGGCAGCCGAACAACTTCCGAGAATTTCTACAGAAAAATTTCTTGTAGACTTCTCGAGAGTATCAGGTGTTATCTAATAAATTTATAGATTAAGAGAAAATCCATATGTTTATACCGCATACTCATGATATATGCTAAGAATCCGAATTTGGTTTTTTCTTTTTTTCTATTTGACTTTCTCTATTAGTCACTCAAATTAGGTGCATTTGAAAGGTAAAGAATGTTAAACTTGAATATCTTGAAATCAAGAGAGGATATTTCTCCTCTCTTGCCTGTTGTTTATCTATTCTATCTCTTCTCTTGGTGGAAGGATTTGTTATGCTTATGGAGTCGATGATGTGTCTTGTTAAAAGAATCCGCGAAAAGTTACGAACGCCTGTGATATAAATTTGGAAAAAAAAGCTTTGTCATGGAGTTCAACTTACCCTCAGCAGAGCCTTTATCTTGTATCAGAGCAGACAGAACTAAGATTGGGCAAAGTTCAACGAATTGCATCATTGCGAAGTGAAATAATGAGTGGAAAAATGCAGTTTACAGGTTCTCTGCTAAGAATTATCTCCTCAGTTCAGTTTTTAGGAAAACACGAAAACTCCTTTGGGTACATTTGGTTCCCGTATATAGTTATCACGTACAAGACGTGATCTTAGCCTATCGAGTTTCCTTGATATTTTTGACACTTGGTCAGGAATTAATTTTTAATCGTCCTATTCACCATTAAGAAAGGAAAGGAAGTAAGCTATAACACATCTCTTCGCTCAGTTTGCTTTCTCGTTGAATTTCATTGTAAATCAATAGAAGTTAATTAGTGAGATTGCGTAGTGAAGAGGTTCAATTTTTCATGGCATTATGCGAAGTTATGAAAATGTTTTGTTCATTATCCTTTCATGGTGTCATGTATGCCAAAAAATAGTTGATTGTTGTTAACGTTGATACAATTTTATTTAATCGTTCTTTTTATAGCTCATCGGGGCGTTTACGAAATACTGAAATTGTATTTCTTCCCCAACGATGAATAATGAAAAGGGCAAATAAAGATACACCTGTCAAGTTTAAACATGTTTCAAAGATGTTTGCTAAATTCTGTGTTACTTTGTTTTCCCCATAGAAGCTGCTTCAACCGACGTTTGTTGACTTCAAATTTAGCACATTGAAAATACAGTTAGTGCCATTTAATCCCGTGGAAAATTCGGGTTTTCAGTTCTCTGTTTCTGATTTTCATTCAGTTAAGTCCAGTTTATCAAAACATGTTTTGCTGGTGTGAATGGGTAAAAGATACAAACTACCATAAGTTAGAATATCCTTCACACTTGATTATCTGTAAAGCCACTTAATTCCAATACCAAGGAAGCCTGTGATGTCAAAAATGTGAACACAACTGTCAACCGACCCTTATAACCGTCTGGCTGTTTACAGTTTTCGATGAAATTTGAATGAAACTTTCACTTAGTTCAAAATTTCGAGAATTGAGAAAGATACATCATAAATGTCTAAAAAAGTGCTCGGCGAGGGGTCATGGTTTACCACTCGTTTACTATTCTTTGAGCTAATGTTTTCTGATTACAGGTCATGCGCGAGGTTTTGTGCTAGGATAAAGTAATGACGAGGTTAAACGGGAAGACGATCATTTGTGAATGTAGTCGGAATTAACTTGACCATACTCCTTTCTTTTGAAATTGGTCGATTCTTTGAAATGCAACCATGGTTGCTGCGTTAGGTTATGTTTGTGGGTGCAGGGTTTAAGATAGGAAAAGAACAACTCTGTTATACGATGCTTAGGGTCGCTTATTTACATTTGGGTCTAAACCAAGTAGTGGGCCTTTCGTATTTTCTACTGGAGGGTTGTTTTCATTCAGTAGAAGGAGACCTCGCTCTTAAATATTCAAGTCCATTCCAAAGACCCCCAAGAATCATTATGTGCAACATTGTCTCTACATGCCACGATATTACTATCAAATAACGCGTCCTTTTCTTTTTCATATTTGTGGTCCCAACAGCATCCTTTATCTCGTCCCAGTCTTCTCTTTTTGTAAGAGCTCCCGTTCCACAAGATCCATAAACGATGAGACCACACGGCTGACGCTTTTATGGGTGTCAACGTTTTTGCAATCGAATGTATATCCACAGTAAGATTTAGCATATTTCTTGTATAACGAGCTGCTGACAGCAACATTTTTAAAGGGAGGAAGAGTGAAGGGTGTTTGGCTAATGAAATATTTCTGTTGCTGAAAAGTGAGGAAAGAAAAAAACAACACAAAACAAAACAAAAACCGATGTGGAAGTTTCCAGTCACCTTTTGTCTTCACGGTTGCTAAGTAACGATGATTACATGCACGGTTAAGCGATGTTAGGAAAATGTCTTAATATCAGTTCCTTTTTAAGGCTTGGAAATCGACAGAAGTAGAAAGTAATGAGCATTTGTGATAATTGCAGAAGAAGCTTCTGACATTAGTTTTTCCAATTATAAACCTGGGCGTAACCTGAGTGACACATTAACATTGATAAAATGTTAAAAATTACGTTTTTTAAATCAATTAAAGCGATATTATTCTCTTCCGTCATTCAAATGACTAAAGAGTATCATCTTCCTACAGTTTAAATTAAGCAGACTACCGGTGGTTGAACGACGGGGAGAAAATAATTGAATTACATGATGGAGGCGTTGAAAGATTCGGTGGAAGGAGACCAGTGGGTATGTTAGTAGGAGCGAATTATTGAGTACTTAGTTAACTGAAACGAAAAAAGGTTGAGGTTGATATGCAGTAGACACGTGTACGTCGTTTGTCCTCTGAATTTAATGACAATCGACTAATATAATGGTTGGCAGACCGATTAAAAATTCGCTTTTGCATCAAAGTTATGTCTGTTATTGATATATTTTGTCTCAAAAATCAGTTCTTAACGAGACTTTTGAGAAAGCTCTGAATTTAATAGGCTATAAGTTTTTAAAAAAATTTCGAAACGTATGTGGTATTTGTCTCTACACAATGCTACATGATATAAAAGATGAAACGTTTTTTAAGCCCCCAAAATCGCAAGGCTGGTGCAAAAACGAATATTGTCACAGTCTTTTTATGATAATTCTAGAAAATTATTTGTTTTCACTGATGGTAGAACAAAAATGCCTCATCTTGTCAATAATATGTGTGGTTTTTGAGGTATCTTCATTTCTTAGTTGACTTGTTCCAAGCTCTCGGTCAGGACGACTGGAAACGACAAACGGCGGTTGCCGAATTTTGTGCGTCTGCCTTTTCTCTCGTTTCCATCAACCCAGAGCCTCTTTCTTGGAGACTGAAAAATACCGTAAAACAGAGCGTTTTGTGAAAGGGAAATTGTTCTGTTATTTACCTTTTCTGAGGTGACGGGATGACAAAGCAATTTAGAATCCTTGTCATGCAGATATTTACATTTTTTATTGAGGCTTTCACGGGAGGAAAATTGAACAGCTAGAATGACCATATTTACATAAACTCGCATAAGGAAAAATATTGACAATGTGTTCCATCGCTTTATTTAGCGCATTGGACGAAAGCAAAGACGGAATTTTTTTGTTGAAAGTCTGTTGTAGTAGGCTAAGCTTGTGAAGTTCTTGATACCCTTAAAAGGGCAACTTGGTTTAAAACTTAAAGTGTTGTTTTATATTGACCTCATTTGTTATCAGTTTCTAGAAAAACATTTTTTTTGAACCGTCATCCTGTATCGTAACGCAACACTTTTTCCTTATCTATACCAAAAGCCAGCTGTGCATAAGATAAAAAGGAGAGTTCATTGCTAACTAATTTGATTTTAAGCGGTGAATCGATAGGAGGCGATCTAACGTGCAACCAAATAGTAACTGTATCGTCTAAATCCTCTCAGGTCTTTCAGAGCCGATTGTACTTTTCTTTGGAATGAAATTCTTCGACCTAATCAGCTTTCTTTTGACGCTTAGTGACACGTGATTTCCACGTGATGTGGTGATCAGAATAATGACTATGAACCAAAAAATTGATCAGACGGACACAATAACTGATGAAATTAAAATTCTTACAAGAGCTTAAAAATTCCTGTGAAGAGAGCGAGGAAAACGATGATAATCTTCACTGGCCAGAACGCTCCTTTTGGCTTTCAAATGGTTTGCACGAGTCCTACCATCCTTAAGCTGGTATTGTTGACATCTTGTAAATGACTTGAAATGCGTAACCAATCTCATTGAGCGCGAACGAGAGCCTGGATTCGCCTCTCACTGAACTACCCGCAGTGCACTTTGGGCTTACCAGATCACCGCTCTCAAGTAACAAGCAGAAACATGTAATTAAATAATAGCTCTCTGTTATTTTGTTTTTCTTTACTTTGATATTAAATTTGGAGGAAAAACGTTTCGTTAACGATGCAATTACTTGTCGCAAGGCTTTGATGAGAGTTAAGGCCCGCAAAAATTAATGACGCACGACCAGGCGTCCAACATGCTTTGGCTGAATACGTGGGAAGCAAGATTTGCTATTGTTGCTAACGCTACATTTTCTTTGTTGTTTTTCGAGCAAATTCGAAGTGAAGTTTACACTTGAATACGACTTAATGGCTATAATAACCAATTTGCCGACTGGAATCGAAATTTTTGCTTTCAAAAAACTTCATTAACAATCCTGTGAAGCTTTACATACAAAAGGTAAGGTATCAAATGAGTTATTCAGCTGTTTGTTTATCATCGTATAAGCCTTGCAACTCTATGTATATTGTTTGTGCCAGCTTGAATGTTGTTGTTCCGAGGAGTTGGCTTCATTCAAATGTTTTCCCTACAGGTTGGATTTGCTATTTATGTGGCGTAGTGTCATTTTGGTTTTCATTTATCTTCACTTTTTACCTGTTATGCCCGTTCGTCCTTCGTATGAGGAGTATCTAAACCAATATACAACGTTAACATCTTCCGAAAACGATAAATGGTAGTTAGATGATAAATACTCGTGCCTAGTTCTCACTTGATTTTAGTTTGCGTTCTGCAACTGAAGTGTTTTGTTGTTTGTGAAAGATTTCGTGATATTAACAAGAAAGTTTCTGATTTTAGTGCACCCAGAAGTTCGTTTTAAGAAAAATCTAGGAATAGCTTAGAAAAAATCTTTGATAAAAATTGGTTAATAAGTTTTATGGAGAAGGATAAGGGTAGTTTACGATGCAAAGAGAAAATATCGTTTTTGAAAGCACGAAATCTATTGCTGTCACTTAGTATTTTGTCACTAATTGCATTTTTTTATGATATTGTGCCAAGTGTCGGTAATGCCGAAAAATGATCAAAACGAAAAAATAAATGAAAACAACGTAGTCGGTTATAATTTAAGTTTATGTTGAATTCATTAATATCAAATATAAGGACAGGGAGTGCAGTAAAGAATGTTCAATTGCTAGAATGTTACTGCTGCTGAACACGAATTTTTATGAATCTTTTTTTGGGTAAGCAGTTTAAGAAGTGTTTATGATAAAAATGGTGTTCCCTCTTATTTGGATTCTGCAGTGCTGAATACTTTTTTAAAAATCTTAATGAGATGTAAAGATTTAGTAGGGCGTTCAGACAGAACCTTTGAAATTATTTAAGCCGAGTTCGACCAGCTGGGGATACTACAGATCGCAATTGAAAATATTAGATACACCTTTCTAACTGTGTTATGAGCATGTTACATTAGGTTTGGGGCAAATGTTGATAGCAGGATCTAGGATCAGAACTGAAAAAAATACACTGGCAACAGCCTCTTGGTCTAAAGTCAAAAGTAGTCGATGACGCATTTGAACTAATTTTTACAACAAATCTGAAAAGCAGAGTTTTCTTGTTTGTTGCTGTTTGATGCCTTTGCCATTTTTCAATTAAAAAAAAAGTAATATGTAGAGTGAAAGTTTTTCTGTATTCCTCACATGCTCACTTTGTATAGCGTTCTTGAATTCTAGAGTTGCACTAAATAAGACTCCTGCGATTACTATCTCGTTGTAAGAATAAGCAAATTTCGCATTGAAGGACCTCGCAACAGTATAGCGAGAGTGAAGCAAACCGCGACGGCGACGGCAACGAGAACGTGGCAAAACAAAAGATCTAATGGACAGAACAATAGCTCAGCACGTGCGTTTTGAAACTTTGTAAATTTCTCAGCCGTACTCTGCAAAACAACAACGTGAAACCATCAAAATTTGCATGGTCTGAAGGAACGGAAACTCAACGGTGCTCTCATACGTTAGGCTAAAGTTGAAGTTTGGCGCCGTAAGAGATGGTAGACACGTTCAGCCATTCGCAAAATTTTAATAAAAAATATAGTTTCATTTTTTAATTGAGCTGTTCCTCGGCGTTGCGATCCTGACTGCTGAATGTACCTAATACTGGCTTTTAGTGAAGAGTACATTAATTTTTCACTGAGTATGTGCTTGTTGCGGTTAAATGCCTGGCTGATAACTACGAGCAGAAATGATTTCATTCTTCGTTAGGAGCCATTTTTACCTTTATTCAGGGGATTTTAATCTCTTTCTTTTTAAATTTAAATTTTTTTTCGGTTTTCAATTTTCTTCGGAAACTGTGCAGACTGTGAAAATTCTTCCCTGGCAACCTTTGTAGTAGAACTTGTAATGTAAAAACACAAGAATCGTCAAATATGATAAACAAGTTTAAGAAAATTCTAGAAAAACATCGAGTGTAACAAATAAACATTAGAATTGTTATTTATAACTTGAATCCATTAGTTTTCACAAACCACTTGAGGCAAGATTTAGTCGGCACATAGGTCAGGTTATAGACAAAACGAAAATTTACGGAAAGAGTCGAAGAAAAATGAAGATTCCGTCAATTCATGGAGGGCAACGTTTTATATCCAAATCTCTGTTTCAGATGTTGGGTTGCAATATGCATAAGACTTTTCGCCGTCACAATACAAAATGATTAACTGTTTGAGTATGTTGTGTTTAAATTGCCTCTATTAATTCTTGGAGGAGGTGTCTACTCGATTTGGAAGAACAATATGATTTGGGTGACATTGAGAGATTTTTATGCAAGAGTTCTCACTGATATTCCTTCATCTTGGCAGTACGTGTCTCAAGGTTCGACCAAAATAATTGAATGATGTTTGCTCTTGTTAAAAAAAAAAACTACTTTGTTTTCACACTCCAGCATATTTTCAACTGATGGGTGATGTCTTACATGACGTCTATTCGCCTTTTTTTTTTCTTTTCTTTTTGGTTTCTATCCATGTTTGACTTAACCTAAATGCTTTGTTCTTTGCACCTATTGTGGTATCCTTTCTAAAGTTTGAATAAAGCGAGTGTCGGTGGAAACTGGTGAAAAATACGCTAGGTATTCACTTGGTATTTATGAATAAGAAATTAAGAAAAAAAACAAAACAAAACAAAAGATAATCATTGTTATGAACGAGCATTATTTGTATGAATATATGTTGACATTAACAACTTTTGCGACGAGTTATCACATGTGAGTTCTACTAAAAGAAATTCAAATTGCAAGTAGTGTCTGTCCTTAGGACAAACGAGCTGTGTGAAGAGGAAGAAGTTGGAGATGTCTGTATTCTCAAGCTAGAATTTTCTTCGACTTCGTAGCAGGAGATAGTTCAAAACAAACTGGTACGTGACATTAACACGAATTGTTTGATAAACATCACCTTGCTAGTTAAACTGACGGGGAACGATCCGGAACCTTCGTAATGATAAGTCATCGTTCAAGAGCTTACTTCACCTGCTGGGTTTGGAACGAAAACTGAAGTAAAAACATGCAAAAATACCCACATGCGAATACTTATCATTCGCTCTAACATCAATTACGATGCAGAGGTTTCATTAATTACAAAATAGATTAATATCGTCTTATGTGGACTTCGCTTAACAATTTTTTTTAATATTTGGTAACTGCATGATAAAATAGCATCTGAAAAACTCCGTTAAAAACCGGATATTTCCCCCCAGTTGCCCATAGTTTCAAAAGGAATCCTGCTCAAATAACAAACTTTACTTGATCTTAGTGTGTTCGTTACTATAGTTTTCTTCTCCAGCGTCTAGTAGCATGTAATTAATGAATAATGTATCACTGACAGACGAAAATATTCAAATTCAGTCATCCCTTCTTGCAAATTTAGAAAACATGTAAACTTATTGAGCAAAGCAAGCGAGTGACGGCCGAATGAAGATGGTCTCCAAAATGAGATGGAGAACCTAGTATTAAGGTTGTGCAGTGTCGATGCGTTTGGTAAGGAGCTTGATTTTCAACCCACCTGCAGTTATTTAGGTTTGTTTGGTGATACACTTTTTGTGTTATTTTGGTAAGTCAGCTGAAACTTATCTCAGTCATAACACCATTATGTCGAAGTTCTGAACATAATTCATAATTTTTTATGATATACCAAACATTTTAGCGTAAAAAAAGTTAGAGTGAATAACTGGGAGTTCCTCCTTGCTAAACCTGTGCGACTTCAATGTACTATTTAACACTATCCGGATGCAAGCAGTGTTTACGGAATACAACGACATGCGGGGGTGTTTTATCGATAAAGTTTGCCTTACAATGAGCGTGGAAAGCTTTTTACAAGGTGAAAAAGTGAAATATTATTCTGTGTATTCAGATTAATTTTAATTCGTATTTATATTCAGCCTGGCTCGGAATTATTGAATTGTAATCTAAACTGGTAAAAGCTTGGCACAGATAGCGGGTTCTTACATGTGTAGTTATCAAGTTGAGGTGGAAAATTTAGCCTTGCTGCCTGAAAGATTTGTCTTTCACATCTGGAGCATTGTTTCGCCTTAATTGCCGTTGTATATCGAGTTTTTCGGGCGACTTTGCTATATCACATATTTCAACCTCAAAAAAAAAAATGATTAACAAGAAATATAGGAGAAAAACGGTTGAAATAATAGTCAAAAGTTCCGATGAGAGGAAATTGTCGACTCCTAACACTCGCTTAAGAATAGGTTTAGTAAAAAAAAAAAAAAAAAAAAAAAAAAAAATGATACTAACTGATTCTGCCCTCAACACAGTACAGGTTAGTATTTATTATAAGATAAAGTTCACGTAATAATGAATTGCCAATCCCGAAGCATGCTTGTTGGCAGGTCTTTAGTGGTTAATTTATTTAAATGAGATTTACAAGATTATTATTGAGAAACTCGCTATGGCTTCCCACATCACGATACCGAAGCAATGTAAAAGCAAAGTATGATCGCAAGTCAATTCGTCCCTGTAAAATGCTACAGCGTTTGTTATGAAATTCGTCATGGAAAAGGAAAATAGTTTATCATAAAATATTTTTGAAGATTAAAGAGTAATTTGGTCTAATTCGTACTCTGCCAATGGAGATTCTTCAATCCAAAATTATTTCGAATTTCCTCTTCCGAATTTTTTTTCTAGCAAGACTAAAGACTTTAAGGGGTCATGATGTTCGTTAGTTGATTTTCCAAGAAATTGTGACTGGTTTAATCATTTTCGTGTGCGGGCTTACTCTGTCACCAAGTCAAGCTTATCTCTGTAGATTCCAACAATGAATGAAAATCAATTATTCAGCTACTATTGAGCAGGTTAGCATCTGACTTGGTTGAATAAATCAAAGGAATTGAATGGGAAGACATTTGTAGGTCTTTCAGTCGCGCTAGTGGTCAAGTTAAAACGGCTTGCACAATTCTTCAGATATCTCCCACAAACAGGTTAGGATGTTAGCTTCTGCCGTTTAAGTTCAGTGCTCATTATGCATGCGGAATGCAAAGGGTAGCTAGACTCGAAATTGGTTGCAAGAAATGGAATATAGTCTTTTTCTTCCTCTGTGATATCTATAAATTTGGGTTTCGCAGAGATTTGTCCTTTTTAAAGGTTATGGAATCAATTTCAACCAAGAATTACTTCCTGAGAGAAGTGTTACCCAAATGTTCATATAGACTTAAAATTATTTGTTTACTGAACAAAATGATTGCTTTTTAATATGACAGGTTAATAAATTTTGAAAATTTCAGTATTCCACTCAGCCAGTTTCAAAGTTTAGTATCTCTCATTTCTTTGAACAAGATGGTGATCAAATACCTGCGCAACCTACATCAGGAATCAATTTCCTAAAATGAGCGTGACTGAACTCAACAAGAGAATATTATCGTGATAATAAGCGGTCTCATCTATATTTACTCTTGTTGGGCCTAATTCGCCGAAATTTAACAAGTCTTTACGATTTTTAATTAGAAGGTAGCTATCAACTAAAAATGCATGAAAATCCACACGACAACCGAGTTTAAACGAACTATGAGCTCTACCGTCTGTTAATGATATCATTAATTTTGTAGGCAAACGGATCTCATTTATCAGGGGGTGTAGAGAACCTGAGCATCGTAGATAGTTCAAACAAAGTTGAAAAATTTATGAGGTATTACTTGACGCGTGCAATCCTTGTGGAACGAGGTAATTAAGTTGTGTACATTGGTTAGCTTTCTGAGCCTGTCATGATCAGGTTCCACAGCCTTTTCGCTATGAAAAAGGTATAGGCCTCTCTCCTGAGTAAGAAGATAACAATAATAAAATAACAACACCAGCAACAAGAAAAACATCGACCAGGCCACATTAACACCTGGGTAATTATAAGGTAAAGAATTGAATGTAAATCAAACCACTTGCTGTTTTAACGGCAAAGTTTTCCTTGAAACCACCATGATGACAGATGACAAATTTTGTAACAGTTGAATAATTCAACGTTTAGTTAATATGCTCATGTCACACCATATCTCATTAACCTTTTCCTTCGCTTAACTTTTCGGTTAAAGGATGTGGTTGCGATTTCATTCTCAGCGTTAATACCGGCACTTATGTATGTTTTATCATGATAAGAGCAAGACGATTCGAGAAAAAAATTTATCACCTCCTGCAGAGAAAATGCAATTTATGCTATTAATTCCTAAGTAAACTTTGGGCAAAGCAAAGATCAATAGACCGGCTACAGTAGATCACGATGAATTTTTCCTTCTTTATCGGATAACACTGAACGTAAGCTTTTTAAGTGTGGTTCGAGTGGTTATCGATTCCGTGTAGGAAAGACTGTGATTTGCTTCACTTTAATGCTATTGATTTTGACTGTGTTATTATCAAAGAGCAATTATTGGATGTTCACACAGAGAATTCATCGCAAACTCGTCGCTTATTTTTGAGTTTTCTTTTACTAACTGTCGATTATTTATCAAGCACAAAATAATGATCTTTCGCCTCCGTGGACGGATGATTAAGGAGCCTGTCGACCTCGACTGACAACGATTAAACTCGATTGTTCAAACCTCCTCTACCGCCAATATTTACTCATGCAATTACGCCCGAAGAATTTAATAACACTAATCTATCCTGACTTGAGATTCTTCTCAGAAGTCGCACTTGTCTTAAGTTTTACACGTCATAGAGCTAAATGTATTGTTTAGTGCTAATCCAGCCGCTTCATTTTCCCATGGTTGTTGGATGTTACCGGAACCTTGACACGAAACTGTAGACAGCGGGGGACTGTAAACATCTTGCAAAAATCGCATGACTGCGTATTCAAAATAAGAGACTGCATTTTCTCGGTTTCAAGTAGGGTTGATCTAAAGTCGACGCTTTTATTACGAAGGTGAGTCTTCTGGGTTTCAAAGAACCCATTGTTCATTGTTCTGAATTGAAAGCTGACGGTGACAAATTTTACCTTTCTTCAAGAAGATTACCTCAGCTCATGTGCAGTGCCCCCTCATAATAATGTACTGAGGTTAAAACATGCTTGATATGTTCCTGCTTGGGCTGTCTCGGTCATATTGATCACTTTCTTGATAAGCGTACTCTACTTTTACCTCGCTTTGATCGAGAAGAAGAGAATCATCTTACGTGTCTTACAACAGAGTGATTCACAAATTATGGTCGTACGAATTCAAAGTCAGCATTCGGTAATAATTGTTGCATCGTTCGTCATTGAAAGAGGGATTGAGAAAACAGTTTTTTCGTTATCGCTTCCGTGTATCCAAGGAAAAAAATTGATGATAATCAACTTAATTAAAATTTTTCAAAAGGCTTGAGCAAATAGACATCTTCATTGAATTAAGAGTTTTTTCAGCTAACGTTTTGAGGAATTACTCTTTGGCAAAATTTCTCGGTGTTTTACAGGTAAGGTAAGGAACACGAAACCCCTAAACCACGGAACGGAAAACAATATGGTTACGAGCTATGAGAAGGGAGCTACTTTAGTCACGAACTGCAATCGAAAGGAAAATAGAACTACTTTTAGCTCGATCTTAACTCACGATCATTCAGCAAAAATTAGCTTTGCTTTATCATTTTGAGCTGCATGTTAAAGGTGCACTTAGCGCAATGATAATTAAACTAAAATCCGGAGCCCTTTAGGGTTTCCAAAAAGGTCTATACCAAATATTTGACTGACTGAATCTGGAAAGAATTACTGAGATTACTTTGACGATTGATTACATGACTGCTTTAGTTTCTACCGTTGTTTAAACCTAAATTTTCGGGACGCATCCGTCGATCACCTGAGCATACAATGGTGTTATTGGATGTTGTCTCCAATCAGTGAGCCAGCGATTTTCGCTCTCTTGAACGTCAGCGAAAACAGCGTTTAGTTTACGCCGTTATTATAAACTTTCTTACGGCTAAAATGCGAAAATTTCCTGTAAAACTTTGGAAAGAGCATTTGTCATCTATTTACTTCGCGCGATCAAACCTAGGGCGGTTTAATTTATTTCTTCCTACTGATGTCAGTGGATGTCTTTGTCATCAAATTCTGAGAATTTAATGTCGAATCTAATTGCTAATTACCTGTCGGTTTGACACTGAAAGTGCTGATTACCCTCGATGGTGAAAGGGTGAAGGAAATGAACTGCTAATCCCTCAGCTCACACGATATCATTGTTGATTTACGCATGATAAACAGATCAATAACTCGCCTCAGCCTTCACTTTCGGGTAATAATTGATCTGCCATTCACTGACAAATCGCCATATTTTCTCAACCTTATCTACTAATCATTTTTTCACTTAATTACCGAGTTTGATTTTTAAAGCCATTTTCATTCATAACTGTCCAACTCGGAAGGCATGCAGTCTGCTATTTTCTGAGAACAAGGGTGGGCTCAATCACGCATGAGCGGAATATCATATATGGCTAACACAGATTGACGGTCGTACACGTGGGCAGTGCACAATGATTTGTCGGTAGATAGGTCACATGGTGGACGCACGGCCAATGATAACAAAGACAAAAACTCTATCGAATGATGTAGATTGTGATACTCGGTACGGGAAAACTCGCAAGATCCATGCAGTTCGTATTATGAACAAGAGAGATTCTAGGTCGAAAGTTGTTTAGCATGCCTAACTTTGGAAGTTAGTTAGGATAAGATTTAGACTTTTAACTGGTTCACCGAGCCCAAGTTTTTTATTTATTTGCAGTCGGTTGGTCCCTGCAGAAAATAAACCACCTCATCTAAAATAATTTATTTGATTTCCTGTGACAAAACTGACTGGCATTCTGTATTGTGTAGTGCATAATTTGCGCCGCTGATACAAATTCTCTTGTTCAGCTTTGTTAACTGTTTTACATATCAGCTTCAGAATTTCAGAAGGTTGAAGTCTTCATACCGTTACATTCCTGAAAGAATTTAATTGAAATATTCTTTTTCATTTCTACGAAAGAAGGAACCATTTAACAAGTGCTCGAGAACACTAATTTCAAGTGAAAAACAAAATAGTGTAACTGGTTTGTTGACCTTTTTTTGTTGCATGGGCGACATCGATTAACTTTTCACTTTAATGCACCGCCAGCTGCTTGTCAAAGGATAAAGACACAAACGACATTTCCATCTAAGTAATCTTCTCATATTCCTCTCCTTGAGCGGTTGTCATCTTTGAATTGAATCACGCATAAGTAGATCAAGTCGAGTCTTAGACAACAAGATACTTGTGGTCCTAATTCTCTCTGGAGACACAGCTTGACAACGTGTTTTAAGTCCATCGTCCTTTCGGAAAATTTTAATATGTCAATATTTCGCGAAAATTGCAGAAAAATCTCTGGAATTTCCAGGTGCATATGTCGGTGTTTACTTAAACAGTTTACACATTCAAATGAATAATTCCATGCACTTACTCTCTGTGTGTTTGTTTTGTACGAAAATTCAACAGTGTCCTCTTTACTAAACCTCAGCAGCGTAACTCCACTTTAAACTTGGGAGTAAAACCTCTCGAAAATTGATTTAAATAGTAGTTAGTCATGTCAACATTTAATTAGATGTTTTATGAGCCGGTTTGTTTAACAATCCTTCAGACTGAAGTGCTCGGGAACACATCAGCACATGGTTTTAAGTTGATATAGCAACTGAAACACTAAAGAAATCTTGGTAACAAGGTTTGTGCTGCTGTAAGATAATCTTAATTATTTCCGAAATGTGCTGGTTTCAAATCAGTAGTTGTAAAATCTAAGAATCTCATCTCAGATGCATCGGCTAACGGATGAATATTTTGATTCTGCAGCGAATGAATGGCAATGGATTTTGACTGCAAATGGTCTCCTATGACAACATCACAGGTACGTTACGATTACGTTGCTTGAGTTCTAATGAAAATATGTTCAAGTGATGTCAGAATTTACGCGAAATCAAGTTGAAAATAAACAAGCAATGATTTATCTAAACCTTTCAAAATAGTTACAGAAACACGGACAAAGTCTGTTTACAGCTTCGTTTAACCAATACCTTTCAAGTAATTGAACGCTTTTTAATTGTCCGCCGTCACGCTTGAGTTTCTGTCGAGCCCCATGAGACATCGCTACCCAAGTCTATTAACGTTCTCGTGTTCTTTCTTTTAATAAAACCAATATCCTGAACACCATATTGTAGGAAGCTAAAAGAACGACCCTCTTTTGTTTCTGAAGATCGTAATGGAGACAAGGTCGACAATATTCTCGATCGAGAGAGTGAACTTCATTAATAATATTGCACTTGACAGTTTGCATCTTCTTCTAAGCAAGTAAGATCGACGACAATAGCGGCCTCTCTCTTTAGTTTGTACCTGCATATTTTAAGTTTCAAAAGACTTCTAATTACAAATGCATTGTGTTTCTATTACCTCAACGAAATGAAAATGGGCAAGAGCTTGAAGCGTGAAGCTCTCAAAAAATTTTTGTGGGATCTAAAACCGACCAGGATCTAACTGTAATTGAGTAGAAGTTGCGTAAAATATCAGGTATACTTTCTCTTTTTTACTTAACTTATGGATTACACTAATAAGATCTTAAAAGCAGCCATCCCTCACCATCTTAGTTGATGCTAACAAGACTAAATTCTGTAAGTACTTATCCATAATTTTGATTAAATCTGTTTCCTGTCGAAGACAGAGGAAAACATTTGTGGATTGCAGAGACAAAGGAGTGGTTATTCCGGTTGATTTCTGTCCGTGGAGCAGATATGCGTGCGTCACTTCCAAGCCAATAAGACGTTGTCATGATGTTCATTCAGTCAGCTCTAAAAGTTACAAATGTGAATATTTGGTTTGCCTTGTGTAGATTTTATACTTAAATAAATTTGTAAAGCGAGTTTGTTTTACTTTTTGCATTAGGCATTTTGGCAAGAGATGTCGGGGGATCGTGACATCATGAGAACTGGAATCGCCGAGAGGGTTCAAGCCGGGCGCTCGCCACCGCTTAGAAGACGAAGAACAAGGGAATACATTCCAAACTCCAGATCAACACAAAGACAAGGTTATCTGGATCAAAACTTGCACGAAAGCAGCTTATTCAGTGATGAATTGACTTACGGAACCCGTGATGCTAGTGGGCGTCTTTATCCCGACGAGAATATGAACAATTTTACTCGTTCATCCAGCGAAAACCAACACCATTTGCAGGACATTTTACGAGTGATGCCCGAGAACTCGCACCTGAGCGAAAGGTATCAGATACTCAAAGCGGAGAATAAAATACTCCGTGAGCGTTTGCAAAATGCGCTACAAAGGGAAATGAAGGCACTTAAGACATTTAAGAGACTTGCTAAAGAAAACAGGCAACTTAAGCTGAACTTAAGAAAATACGAGAGAACATTGCTTGGATTCTACGACGATGACACAGGTACGCGGTCTATTAGAATTAAAATTTTGTAGTGTTGGGAAAAATTGCGATTCTACTGCCCTGAATTTTTCACCGGCTTTAAAAAGGGAACAAGCAAATGAACAAGGAACCTCTCTCAGTCAACAAATTGTACCTGCGATTAGCGATTTGCGTTTTGTTTGTTTACAACAAAAATGTTTCGCTCAGCAAACAAATTCATTAATGAAGTATTCGTGATAACACCTGACAGCTTCAAAAGAAAATAACATTAATTGTTTGTGTGGCTTGCTTGCAATAGTTCCGCTTCTAATTATGTATCAAAGGTGTCATTTTTACCCACTTAAATGTTCTTATGAATGCATCGGTCATAACACGTTTTTTTTCTTTGATTGAATCTAAACGAATCAAACTGAATAGAGCGGCGCACTTTTATTTCAGTAATGTATTCAAGTAACTATTTTTTTGCGTCTCGAATTCTCAAATCAGCCTATTTCACATTCGGCACGGAGAGAGAAAGCGGCAAAAGCGAAGATAAAATCTGCGGTATTGTATCTTAAAGAGTTCAACTTTTGAGCTCTAAGACCATGTACGATGTTGATTTTGACACAGTTTAACTCGATATACTAAAGAATATTTCTATCGGTCACTTATATCGATATGATTGGAAGCCTAACAAACTTTTTCACGGTCGAGTCCAGAAAACATGATAAAAACCTATGGCAAAGAAATCTTTTGTGCCTGGAAACCACTGCGCTTTCATCAGTTTGGTAAAATTGTATGAACACTTTTTCCACTTTTCATTTGTTTTTGTTGTAAATTTTGTTTTTTCTTGATACCTCTTGCGCGCTAAACGCCATAGCAATCTTCGCCGTGGCCGGATAAACTGAAATCTAATTTAGGCAATAAGCTTCTTAAGCAAAAAATCTTATGGAAATTTCGCTTACATTTTTCCACTTTTGCAAACAATTATCGTAATCGTATTTCACCTTCTGTGAGTAAAATTAGGGTGTTCTGCAGACACGTTTCCAGAATCATATTGTTTAAGAATTGGTATGAATGTGGAATGAAGGAAAAACGGTGATTGGGTAAAAGGATTGTTTACTTTGTGAACTTTTCAGTTGGGCTCATCCCTACGAGTCGTGGCTTACTCGTCTGTCATTTTTGGAGTTACAGCGAAGGATTTTTTTTAGGCTGAAATATGCTCTCCTTAAAAATTACGTAATGTGTATCTCAGTAAAACTGACGATTTGGCTCAGTAAAACCCTTCGCTTCATTCAGTTTAGATTCAATCTAAGATAGCCAAATGAAGAAAAGAAAGCACACGAGGAATTTGAAAGTTGCTCCAAAATCCATCTAACTTGCGGTTCTTTCATTTTATTTCTGTTCATTTATTTCTTTTGAAAACCATTTCCTGTTTTTTATCACTTTGTGCTGTAGCTCAGTCTTTGTCTCAGACCACGTTCCAACGAGCGGGTGTTTTTGAGACGTGAGCAGGATATTTTGACCTTTGATCGACTTATTGTGCGACATGAAAGACTTGATCCAGAGTAAATCTTTCGAAAACAAATGTTTTGTCAACAGAACTTAAAGTTTCCTTGGATCATTACATAACTTACGTCACTTAGCAGTTTTCCTTATTAAAGTGGAATTTACTCAAAGCCCTTAACAGCAAAAATACAAAGCGATAGATTGAAGAAATTGCTTATATAACAACCTGAAGTCACTTTGCGAAAGTAATTCATCATGCCTCTATAACATTAAACAAAACTTCAACATATTTTGAATGCAAATTGCAAAAAAAACAACAACAAACAACAACACATTTTGGATCAGTTGCCAGTGACTATGCCCAATTGCCTCCTACACCTTGCGGGGAAATAAAATGTTCAGAACAGCTAGTGTCGGAATGAACAGAAGCAGAGCCGTGATGGTCCCACCACGAACTGCTGATGATTACGGAGTAATTAAACTAAAACTTCGTGCTGTAAGGTCGCAGAGTGTGGCAGGGTTACATTATATTTATCTTACAGCTGAAAGGCCCCAGACAACCAGCGAACGCTATTCTGTCGCACCACTGGCAGGTGATCACGATTGAACTGATACATGTAAAGATATGCACGTCTTTATTAACCAGATGAGTTCTTTTCATATCGTTTCATCGTAAAATATACTCTAAAACATTGTTAAGATATTATACGCCGTATAATTTTCGAGAAAGAGGAAACGAAGTAATCTCAACTTTTAAAATATTGGATTTCTTTTTTGGCTGATTTTGGATCAAGTCGATCTCTTAAAAACAATGCAAAATAAAAGTAGGAAGGGCTTTTTCATTTTATTTTTTACGAACAAACGCGACCACGAACATATATTTAGCAATTCAACTATTATAAAAAGACCATTTTACTTTTAGTCTGTAGACTGTGGAGTGTTTACGTGTCTGTGCATACATTTTACGATTAGGGATTCATTGATTAGACACATCCCTTTTTATGCCACGAGCGTATAAGCGTATAATTAGCATGTAAAATTGAATTCTCTCTAAAGCCTTGGCCTTGATTGTTCAAAGGTTGGATAACCCTATCCACAAGATAAATCTCTATCCGGTGGATAGCGTAATACATTTTATAATCACTTATCTGCTGGATAGCGATTTATTCGTTGGATAGCGTTATCCGCCCTTTATACAACGGGGCCCTAATCTTTGTAATATTTTCTTTTTTAAGTGCCAAATATTTCCAGATCGTTCAAAATCACTCGTTGCCCCTGAGCTGTAAAATAGTTTTATGACGCACAGGGAAGTTTAATTAGTCATGGCTTTGTTTTAATGATAACAATTACGTGATTAGATGATAGTCAGTTGTACCTTTACCGCAGACCAATTATTGTGATCTTAAATAGTCATTAGCCCTTAAGAAGAGTGTTATATAAATATTCTGGACACAAAAACTTTTTCTGTTTCAGTCTCAAGTACTGGGCTTCGTGAAATATTCTGTTCTCCGTTTGCGCGGTCCGTTTCTGTATTTATGTCATGTAACTTTGGCACATCAGGACAATTTACTATTGTATTTTTTTTCGCTTACCGCACGAAAGGCACATTTGCGATAATGAAAACTGTAACGATCGTCCATTGACCATGTATCGTCCTGACTGACATGCCAAAAACTTCGTTTTAGTCCCTGATTTCTGGAATAACGAAGAGCCAACTTGCATTAAATAATGGTCATAAATGTGAAACAGCTATCAATATCTGTAGAACTGTGTGTTTATTAATGTGTATGCCACTGTGGTATTTCTTGAATATTCTATGGACTCGATTAACAGGCCATGTTTACTGCTTCGCCAATGTTGCACATAGAGAGAAGCACCTACATGCCGCTTCGGTCTTCAAGGGTCTTGAAAGACTTGACCACAAAGTATCATCTCATTCTTCATTAAAACTACAATAGGTGACCTCGATAAATTTATGAAATAGCAATAATATTTTAAAAAAAGGAAATATGATCCCTTTATTTTTTCAAAGTAAAAAATCTCCATATGAGATACCTTTAGCCACTTCAACGGCAAACTACGTGCAGCTAGTTTAGAATATAACTTTAACGCATCGATGAGGATTCTCAGAGACAAATTGTTTGCGTTTGAAACAAATCAGGTGTTACAAAGTCTTAAAGTTTTTATTCTTTTCTCAAAACGGTTTTCAAAGTTTTACGTTGAATCGCATGGCTCCTATCTGTGATTTTATTTAGATTCAGACCACAGTGAACATCCAAAAGATCCAGACTTTGGCGCCAATCTAACACAGGAAGACAGCACAGTGTTACACGGGGAGGACCTCTGCAACGGGCAAGAATCGCCAGAAAGAGACTGCAATCAGACACCTCAGCCTTTAAAAGAAACTAAGAGTACATCCACATCAACTGAGGATATAATTTTAACGGGTAAAGAAGATAAATGCACATCAACGGATGATTTGGAAATTTTTGGACTAAAAATGGAGTCTGTTGAAAGCTCAGACACTGAGAACAACGACGACAAGGTGCCCGAGTGTGCGGGACCTGAGTACCATGCTACAAGTCTGACTGATGCAACAAAAGTACAGTTCTTGCAATCTCAGCTACTCGCCATGCGAACACAAAGTGTACAAGAACGAAGGAAATTCAGCGATACTCGACGATATTGGACGGATCCCGTAATAGCTAACAATTTAGGTGTGAAGGAACTGAAAAGGGCGTCCAGTTCACCGAGCTTACTGGGTGAGTCAGCTATTTCCTGAGCAGCGGTTACTAAAGTAGAAATAAACTTGTCGTCGAACAACATAGAATCAGCAGAGGGCGTAGGTTTCAGATGGACTCACTATGAAATCCTATTCCTTCCCATCCAGACCACTCATTCAGCTTAATTAATGTTTTTAAAGTTATTTCTTGGAATTTGAGGAGGTAATAATAATAATAATAATAATAATAATAATAATGATAAAGAGTCAAACAAGAATACGTTTTTAGTTATTGGAAGATCCTGAGTGCGATAAAGGATGCCAAATTGTCGCATTCTATACAGATTCTATACAGACTATACATTCTATTTGCTCATGATGACAAGAGATTATAATCTGTTGATGTTGACTAAAGTTTTTAAAATAGTGTTTCACCAACAGATAAAGCGATGTTCTTTGTGGTTCAAATAGAAACACGTTAAACAATAAAACTTCATTTTGCAGATGGATGTGGCGAGAACACAACAGAGAAAAAGAATCTCCATCGTAAGGATGCTGCGTCGATCCCAAAACGACGCGTGTCGGACGGCAATGATCCTTTCTCATCTGATTTTATTCCTCGGTCGCGACCATCGTCATTTAATGATGGTGAGCTTAGCACAGTCCCCGAGGTGACTATTTCTCAAGATGAAGAGTGTAATGACAGTGAAGACAGCTCCAGATCACCTTCTCCTAATTCAAGGGTAGGGTTCATCTTCAACTTCAGAGTCACCCTTGACGTCTTATTTTTCTTTAATCAATGATTCTAAGTAATATTGTCTTTTCTTACCTAAAAAAAAAACACCTTCAAGAACTGAAGTAAACAGCGGTCTTTATTTTGTGTATGTCAACTCAATTATAAGGTATCTCGTTTTACGGGGCCGTTAAGCTACCTTCTCAAACTCATTAATAATTCATGCTGAGAAAACAAAGGAAATTACAACCGTAAAGGAGGTTTGGATATGTGATCTTAATTATCATAAAATTTGGTGAACTTTTGCTTTGATTTTCTCCTAGAATCATCAATGGTTTGAGAAGCTATGTCAAACATTCGAAAGGGTGTTTCATCCGATATCCAAACACCTTGAAGTTGGTTAAAAAATACTCGGCTGCGTCTCATTTTTTCAACCAGTTCTCAGTGTTGGATATCGGATGAAACACTCTTCCTCGTGTTTGATATATTACGTGACCTTAGAGAAACGGCCTCAGTTCTGATCCTTTCCTGATCCATTTCACAGCATTCTCAAGATGATCTGGCGTCAAGCTCCTCGTCGCCAGTCCCCTCTCCCATAAGCGTGGAAAGTCCAGCTTCCCAAAGATCACCGCGGGCGTCTCCATTCATTCTGGACGTAGACTCCGTAATTAGTGAAAGGCACCAGGTGAGGGACCTATTTTTCTTATCATAACGCTGAAGTTCTGGCATCTTTGACCCATTAATTGCAACAGAAAGTCGAATAATCTTTTCATAGATCAGTTATTTTTATTTGACGAATGCAGTTCAAATCCTAAAATATAGTAAAACACGGTGATTCCAACTGGTTGGTACGTGGCAAGGCAGATCGAAGCAGCATGTGACTGTTGGCTGCCTTCAGTTTTGTTCTTTTACTAACGAACGACAAAAGGCATGAATCAGCTTTGATTTTAATCCACTTACTTCTTCATATCAGTAGAAAACTACGAAAAGTTGTCTCTATCATCAAAATGTAGACATTTCCCTTTGAATACATTGAAACTTTGAAACAGAAAGAGGAAAATTCCTTTCTGATCGTTTCCTATCAACTCCATGCTCCACCCCTCTAAAAACAGCCGAATAAGCAGAAACATGCGTGTCTTAAGAATCACTTCATAGCTTTCTAAAAAGTTTTTATAGATCGCCCTACACAGGTTTTTTTTTTGATACGATAACAACATTTTTTTGATGGGAAAATACAGATTCATGACACAGAAATTTTAATTTCGGCCCGCCGACTATTTTCTAGAAACTTCTGGCCGAGGCTCCAGCCTCACCCAGTCCACAACCAAGTCCAGCCGGAAGCCCTCAAACAAAAAGAAAACTGGCTCATACAGTATCACTTCCACAAACGTCAGTTCATCATTACTTGGGTATGCAGGGACAGAGCAAAGACACTGTGGACAAGAACGACCCACCACTAACGGTACATATTCGAGTTATCATTTGCGCTTGTTTCCGTCAATAGAATACTCGACTGATGTTATGGTATCGCGACGAGTATTGTACTTTGACCTAAGAAATTTTTCTTTGCTTGCGAACGGAAGTTGAAAGGAGAATCACTTATGTCCAGGATTCAAGAAGCTTTTAGAATTTTTTCAATTTTTTGAAATTTTCTTCAATCCTATTTCCCCTCCATCTTTCTTTCTTGACTTTCTTTTAATCTGAAATTTGAGAGCCTGGGCATGTAGTGGAATGATGTTAACTCTCAAACTCCCATGGGTGATAAAGACATAATTTTTTCTTACAATATCAAGCAGACAAGTGATGACAATAACAAAAAATATCGTATAGGTGATTATTAATTGATCCAATACCATATTCTCCAAACTAATATCATTATAATTGTATGGAAGACAGTGTGGAAAATAACTAATGAGATCTTGGGAGAGAAAGGGTTTAAAGTAATTTAAGAACTGTCTGTCAAATTTTAGCGCCGGTCAAGAAGGAAGTCAATTGATGACGATGAAATCTACGTCAAGAAAAACCGTCAAACGTCTGTGTCACTGGTAAGAGAAACGTTACTGTTGGCGAATGCCCCTCTTCAGTAAAGCTTAACTTTTAGCTCGACTGCCTTTTTTCGTCAGAAATTCGAAGGTGACATCGAAAGAGAAAACGCCGAGAGTCTGGCAGCAGACATTGCAGAGTTTCTAAACAGCCGCAAGAAACGATCCCGAGCGGATACAATGCCGGTAAAAATACACTTGAACTCTCTCTTTCCTGCTATGTATACGGACAAAGTAGATTACATAAAGGCCTTTGATCGGGCGTTCTGTTCATCATGAAAGGACGGTTTCAGCGACCACCTTTATTACTCTGGATAAAATTCTTAAGTATAAAAACTATTGCTATAAATTCCGGCTTCGCATACATCATTTGAAAAATATTTTGTTCATTTCAGAGCCCGCGAACCTCAAGAGAGGAAGAACTAAAAGGAGAAAATCAGTCAGCGGACGAAGAGTAAGCAATATACTATCTAAGTTCTAGATAAGCAATCTATTATTGAACCATCAGAAAGTTTGACTGAAAAATAATTTAAGAAAGAAGAAAAGGTCAGACAAGTTTGCTAAAATGCGACTGTTCTCTCTAGTGATGCTGTCTTCACTCCAGCGCGTTCAACGCGCGCACGACGAGGCTCCGCTGTGGTGTCCATGCCTGGGGACCACTATCAAATGGACCTTCATGTACTCAATGTTACAGGAGAGGGGATTGGTAAGAAAAAACAAAGAATGCATGATCCAGCCATGTTGTACTGCTACAGTACATTATTTAATAGTAACCCTGAGTAGATCTATAGTCATACAACTGAAAGGATACATACTAACACGCATGTGGATAATAAACATGTGGATAATACATGGTGAAAAAAAGAGTCGTTTGATGATTCGATATTTTTTATTTCATTTTTGCCAATCGATTTATTAATTCACATTCAATACTTTCTCTTTCAATGAAAATTCACAGGTAAATCGACATCTAAAGTTGAAGTTTCGACCCCAGTTGTGGAAATGAAGAACAATAAAAGCTATGAAAACAAACTTACATGAAAAAGGGGCGATTTATTTTTCGTTAAGCAAGCCTAAATGTCTGCATGAAAGATTGTCAAACTACTTTAGTTTCCATGAATTTAAATGAAAATCTCTAAGTTCAAGGAAATTCATAGGAGAGATTAAAAAACTGCGATGAAAAAGGTTAATGACCTTGGTAAATGTGAGTCGGTTACTATAGAATCTTTTAATCCTTTACACCCTAACAACAGTATGTATATTCTCCACAATCCTCTTTAAACACTTCCTGTGGTATTACCACTGGAAAATTTGTCAAACAATCAGGAGCATGCTTATTTAGTTAACGATCATATTCAGGGTGATATTGTAAGGAAAATTAGATGACAGTCATCCGTATGGGTTTAAGAATTATTTAAGACAGCGAAAGAAAAAACTGAATTCGTGAGAAGCCATTTAATAAAAAAATTAATTTTCTGTTACAATATTATTCACACTTTTCGTAAGTAAAAAGAAATGACCGGAAATAAGCACAATTATGATGTAGACCTGGTGTGTATTCTGTTCATCATTTTACTGCATCGAACTTGACATTTCGTAAACAAAAAAGGCACATGAGATTATGTATGTACTATTATATATCAGATTATGAAGCAATTTTTTGTCAGCCAATAGGTCAAGGAGACACGATAGAAAGATTCTGGTTTTCTAAAGTATTTAACAAGAGTTCTAGCTCTGGAACATTCTGTACAATGGCCAAAGCGGAAACACCTTTATCAGCTTACAAGTATATTCGTGGAATGTCGAGTGTGTTTCGAACCACAAGAGCAAATTGCAATGGAGGATAACTCATGTGAACGCTCATTATCAGTTTTTATCCATCCTAAATTGCTTTGTCTGAAGATTCCACCATTCATTTTAGTTTTACTGGTCTTTGGGTTTTCTTGTGTTCTATATCAATTAACTATACTTCTGCGATGCGCCTCAACTAAATATTGCTTTTTTTAGCGGTGAAAGCGTTTTTAAAATTGCATGACGAACCCCCAAAGCTGATCAAATTTGCAAAGTTCTGATCACGTTTGATAACCTCTCGGTTACTATAAACACGGAGAAACAAAGTAATTTAAGAACTGTCTGTCAAATTTTAGCGCCGTTCAAGAAATTTTTTAATTTCATCGTCTTCCGCTCTACGTTCAGAGGAACTGGTTTCCGATCGTCCGCTATTATTTCTAATTATAGAGAGATCGTTACCTAGAAAGTTCGATTTTTCTCTGAAACTTCATAGAGCTGACCGCTGGTGACCGTTGTTCAAGTTGTAGTTAGTTATTGGGAAGGTTTCGCTTGTGAACGTGAAACAGTAATGAAACATGGGTTTCATCGGACGCGTTATCAACACTAATTTGCAATTCTGTGGTACGGTATCAGAATCAACAAATTACCTTAATTTGCTAGAATCGAAGGACATGCTTAATTTTTTGTACTCTTTTTTTAACAAAAAGGAAAGACACTGAGTGTTATCCGCGAGAAGAAGGAGCTCTCAGGATCATCTACATCTCTCAACAGCATAGGTTCGTAAAACAAGTCGATTTAAAGCATAATGTATGAATTATCTGCTGAAATGTCGTGACTAGTCTTGGGATTTATGTAAACTTTTTGTCTGTTAATACTGTGACACGAGGTTTATTTTGATATGAGCTTTGCCGACATTTCTGTGAGGACTGCTGACACCAGAGCTTATATTTCTCTATATTTCCTTTTTACAATTGCAACTATATCCTGACCAAATTTATGAATATCTGTTTTCAGACCCAGACAAGAAATCACGATGGTCTATTCTAAGAAGAAATAAGAAAATGGTAATTATTGGAGACTGTTTTGATTTCAATCGACTTCCTCTACGTTATTGATACTGCCCGGCGTTTTACTCGACATTAACCTTTTTTGCTTACTTTGATCTCGATAGTTGCTACTCAAAGATAAACAACCCAGACAAGGGGAAGATTTCAAAGAAAGTTTGGCTCGCATGAGGGACAACCCAAAAGCCATTGTAACACACGAACTGGCTGAGTTTAAGGTTAGTTAAGAAGCAAAGCACATGAATTGGTTACGGCCATCAACTTGTTTTGTTATTTTTAGAACACCCAAACGTGACACTGTAGCCTTTATCATGTCTCGAGTGACACTTTAAAAAAGATATTGCAAAATACAGATAACAAACTCATGATCACGTATTCAAACTTGACAAACGGAGTACAAAAAGTGAATGTTGGTCCCTAAACAATTGAACGGTGTTCTCAATAGAGTCGGATATTTTGGTGAACTTTTTTATTTACAAAATAAGAAAGCCAATTGTATCTTTTATGCAAGACTTTATGTAGAACTGTTGTCGATATAGTCACTCAGGGGCATTGAATCAAAGTTCCTGTGATACCTTTAATCTGGGTAATCTTGTTTCTCTAAACCCACTGAGCCAATCTTATCCGCACTGATAAACTACATACATGAAGATGATTGCTGAGAGAGATCATTTAAACGGCCTCGTTTGCACGTTTGACACAAACGTTTACGGAAATGGCCCAATTGTTGTGGGGCAGGAGGGGCTGGCCACTGAGTCCTAAATTTATCCCATTACTGCGTTAACAATTCTTGGCTTTCAGCGAAAGCTTGGATTTTTGTCGAACGGTTCCTGTGTTCGACACGTTTACCCTAGCGCGTGATGAAGGTTTTGAATTAGTGCCAATTGTTTTTTTTTCAGTCGTAAATATTTCATATACATCATCGCATGCCAGTCAATACATGTCTTAAAAGCAACAAACTTTCAAAAGTGTGGTTGTGTTTGTCATTTGAAGCTGAATCAATCTACACTTTTGTTGAAAAGACATTTCATCTCAACAAAAATTAGGGCATTGAGACGTGATGGACCTTTTCGCTTTTCAGTGATTACTACAAATCGTCCGTGAAGTAAGACAAATATCTTTAAAAATCGGTTATTTTTTTTAAACTATTTTTTTCTTTTAAGATATCAGCAACTTCCTGCATATTTTAGCACCACTCCCACACACGGATACACATACCCACACGCAAAATTCTAGTGCTGTTTTTTCTTACGAATTCTCGTAATTTTTCAACATCAAAATATTCATGCAGCAAAACTGTTGATAGAGAATAATTTCTCATTAAGGATGAGAATTCTGAACTGTCATGACAAATTCATAAAACATGAAATTACGATCTCGTCCTGATTTCATATAATCATAAATTTAATTTTCCGCTTGGCGTTTTCTTGTTGTGGCAAACTTAAAACACTTCCAAAATCAATTGATGATGTTATGAGTCAAAGAAAAAAATCTGAATAAAATCTAAAATCTCTGAATGTCTTTTTAATTCACAGAATAGTCACTGGACGCAGCTTATGGGTCAGAGCACAGAGAACTGTCCGAGGAGGCCTCGGTCTGATGGTATCAGAGCGCTGTCTGATCATGAGACCAAAAGACGCGAAGCAGTATGGGAACTGTTTCATAGCGAGGTCATTTACCTGATGAGTCATCTACTGGTTCTTAAAGAGGTAAGACTTCTCTGCGTAAGGTTTGCAAGGAATTACCGGGACCCAAGGCGTACTTATTTCATTCCCTGCCGTTATTTTGGGGACCTGTCATAAAGCGTCGCGGGGGAAGGCGGGGGGGGTGGGGGATTTTGGTTGTGTCACGATAACATTTATCAGATCCTCCTATAGGGCTCCGTAATACTCTTATGGTCCCCTCCTAGTTGACCGTAATTCTTAGTCAATGGCAATGACTGACCCCCCCTCGGTTTCTCCTGAGAACCGTGCGATACCCTCCCCTCAAGGCGATAAAAAAATTACTGGTTCCAAATATGTCTGAGTACAACCTACTGGCTTCATACAACACTTGTTGTTTCACATATTCTATCTTTCATTCCCCTTAACTTCAGCAATTTCAAAAGTTCCAGTGGTAAAATTCTATTTTCTAAGAAATCTTCTCACCAGTTGTGTTCTGAAATTGAATTTTATCACAAATTTTTTTTCTATATTTTCTATTTGTCATTGTTTCATTTTTCATCCATCACCACAGGTGTTCCTTGAACCTTTAAAAGAGATCCAGCAAATGGCGCATTTACAGCATGTGGACGTCAATAAGATCTTCTGTAATGTTCAGGACCTGTGTGAGGTAAAACCAGTAGGACACTTTGGGTTCCTTTATACCAACAGTACTCCTAACATTCCTCACTTCAAGGCAACAAGCTTTGAACTTGAAAGCTGAATAAGCACACTTGTTACACGGATTTACCTTCCCTCTTTCAAAGGGAGGAAAGTTTTTGGGTTTGTCTGATGTTCCGAGAAATCTATCGATCAAAGTGTACGATATTCTAGCAGTAATAACTATAGACAAGAGAATATCACTTGAGACACTTTTGTGAAGGAAACATAATTGGGAAGCTGAAATAAAGCTTGACATTTAATTTTTACGGAGAAAGATCCAGGGTCAGAAAAAAACTCACAGTTGTATTGTTTCAGGGAAGCATTGGCTCGTTCACACGCACATACAAATATTGAACTTAAGATTACACTGTAACGATGACTCCAAGTATCGAAGAAGTATTATTCTTTAAGAGGGACACCATATTCATAATTCTTGTGAAAAACACTTTCATCGTTTGACCGTGTTATAAATTTCCTTTTCATAACATTCGTTTTACAGGTCAGCACTCGATTCGCAAAGAATCTTCTGCGTGTATTCCAAAGTGAACAACCCACACAGTTTGGAAGTACTGCTTCTGTTGTTTCGGCTTTTACTGAGGTTGGTATTTCTACCATATTGCCTTTCCTACTTTGCTCTCATTCCATTTTGTTTAACTGCCTTGTGAGACTTCACCTTTGTTTTCTGTCGTTTTTCCTTAACAGTTTAGTCGAAAGGTTCACCCGCAGTATCAGCGATATTGCTTGAATTACTCCAAAGCCCTTAGTTATTTGGATTCCCTGAAGAAGGACGAAGACTTCCAAGAGTTTATTAAGGTAAAACTTAGTTTTCTGCACTGCATTTCGAATTTTTTTCCACGTATAAATCCTGGTTGTCCAACCCAGAAAGACTTCAGTCTTTCAATATTTATAGTTATAAATCACGCGAAAGCAACAGTAGAAAAGGAGTTTGAGGTAGCTTGATAGTGAGCGATTGGTTCATTGGCCCAGAAATTGTGCGTCGTGTACGTACGATACGGACGCAGGGGATACGTAAAATGATAGGCAAGAAACAGTATTACTCCAGCCTTACTATTTTGACAACTTTTATTTTCGTTTACCATTTATACTTGTATTCATCTTTAGTGGTGTGAGTCCGACAGTAGATGTAATAGACTCCAAATAACAGATCTTTTAGTGGCACCACTCCAACACCTTACAAAATATCCTCTGCTACTCAAGGTATGTATTAGAAGCATTTAAAGGAGACTTTTTCTCTAGCAACCATAGTATTTTTCCTTCTATCCTTCAAACGTATGAATGAAAAGTTACCAGCTGACACGTCTTAGCTTCTAAGAGTAACCTAGCCGTTAAAATCGTCTTAAAATGCGCTAAAAGTTCAACTACATTTGGGACATGTTGGCGGCGTTCTTAGTAGAATTAGCACCTTCGAGAACGACTTTCGGAAATGAAGGTTACGGTTTGATATATCAAAATGCGGTCATTGTCATAATATTTTAAATACCTTTTAGTAGCGGACATGAAAATGATATAGTTTCTGGGATATACTTCTCCTTTAAAATAGACATGAGTACCGAAGAAATAACTTTTAAATTCATGAACAATCTGTCACTGAATCGGATGATTCTATTTTACTTACAGAACATCAGAAAAAGAACTGCTGAGGGAGATGAGCAACATGGTTCTCTTTCGTCTATCATCAAAGCAGTAGAACTTTCAATACGTAAGTAAATGTATTTGCTGGTTAATTCACCAATTCTATTGCGACAGTACGAAATGACATTGATTCAGAACATGACATCCAATTCGGGCTCAATTTTTTTCTTGCAGAGGAATTAGAAGGCAAAGTGAAGTCCCGCGCAAACTATGAAAGATTACAAGAACTTCAAAGCAGTTTAGTTTGGCCTTCCATTACTGAGCTGGATCCAAAGACATATGTACCCGAGGTGGGATGTTGTCATTGATTTCCAGAATAACTGAGACAAAACGCATGCTCAGATTCTTTCGTCGAAAATCTATCGTTTATTGATGAACTCATGGCTTCCGATAAGAACATTAAACCGCACGTTCAAATGAAAGTTCCTTGTCATAGGGGAAACACCCAAACACTTTTTCATGTTGCCCTACAGTTGAAAACTACCAAATGGCTATATACAATCATAAACGGAACAGATAACATCATTTTCCATCATATCCATTCAAGATAACTCACAAAAACATTTTGAAAAAGGAAAACAGAGGAGTTATAATTATCTGCCTCTTAGTTGTCTTTGGATGATAACTTCGTTTTGTAAATATTCTGTTTTTTTCTGTGTAGTTTTTGAGAGGAATACTATCAAAGCAACCCTGTGAAAGCCTATTAGCAAGTCCAAAAAGACAACTGCTGTACGAAGGACCTCTCATGTTAATTGGTAAGTTATCGCCTAAACTTGTACGTAATTACTCACTGGCTCACAGCGATTTCTGAACCGAATACTCATGGAGAACTATACTGTGAAATGTAACTGAAACATATGGCAAATCCCAGACAGAATTTGATCAATTAAAACATTCTGACTCGGCAAACGAAAGGCAGAACGATTGTGTTTGGTTGAAATGCTCAGTTAACACACGTACCCAACTTCTTTCGATGCCTTATTCTCTTTCAGAAAACGCCAAAGTCGATGTTTATGCATTCCTGTTCGACGACATGCTTCTTTTAACCAGATTCAGAAAACTTCCTCTAAAAGTAAACAAGGTATGAAACGAGAAAGAGTTTGTATTATCTTGTATTTGAAGATTTCGCAATTTATTCTATTCGGGAAGAAATGAGAGAACATCAAAATTTTATAACCCTATATCTAAGCATGTTGTTGATTATGGTTCATATCTTTCATTTGATCAGAAACTGAATCTGGCCGGAATGACAGATAGTCCCCCACCCACTCCTCCCGTGGTCAGACGCAGCATGTCGGGAGCGCAATACACAGTTTACAAACAAGTACGTAATTCAAAATGCGTAAGACACATTGTCTTTACTCCTAAACTCCATAGCTGTGCTTTAATAGTTCTCTCTGTTTAAGATAAACAGTGACGTGATTCCGAATAGTTCATTTGATCAGGAAACGAATCAATTCCAAAAAACTGGCGTGTTCTTTGATGAGTGATATGGTTTATTAAATCTTCTGAGAATTGCTTTTCAAGTTATACACGATGCTCAGTGTTGTTCACTCTGTCAATCTTTCAGCCAATACCACTGGACAGATTCATTATTATTGATGCCGAAGCCACACATGCAGGTAATTGTTTTCGTAACACTTGTGAAAGGTATTTTTTGCGAATCTATATATTCTTTAAGAATGAGGGATGTGTTTCACGTTGACTTGACATCTGTTCTGTTGCGTTCTTTTAGGAAGCACGTTAAAGAACTCGTTCATAATAATCCACTACAGCAGATTTAAACAAACAGTAGGATTGTACACGCTACAAGCACCGTCACAAAATCTCAAGGTAACATCGTGTACTTGAAATTTTGTAAAATTAAAAAACTGTGTCCGTCCTTTTCCTTAGATTTTCCAGCAACGGTAGGAAAATAAACTATTGTGTGCTGTTGCAAACTTTCTGATAATTTTTTCCCCAAATTACTCACAGGAAACCTGGACAAGCACACTGAAAGCCGCTCAGAGTAAATGGTCAGAGGCGGTGGCACTTGAATTGGCTGCGGAAACAGAAAAAATGAGCGCCTTTCAGACTATCAGTGAAAAAGAAGTTGAACAAGAAACAGAACCTAAGTCCCCTGACGACACAACCTTGAGTCAAACTCAAATGCTGTCTTATTACAAACCCATTGAATCACAGTGTTGACGATAAATTTTACTATAACCGTCAAAGTGCGGGACATTGGTAGAACTGTTCTTTATACTGTTTGCGGGGTCACAGACAGATTACACGTCTCGATACAGACGAAGAAATTATAAAGAATGCCTCGCCACAAACAATTGATCCAATCACTGCTGATCAACGAGGTCATAACAAGCGTAATAGAATGTTTACAATTGGACATCCATGTGTTTTAGAAAACAAACGAACTGTAAATAATGAACATAAAAAAAAAATTGTACGTGGTCTATCGAGACACATCACACATGTGTTTCGCAATTTATTGAAGTGGTATTTCCTCCCCAAGCAGACCCAATCGAGACCCAAGGCTCGACTATTAAACAGCATAACCATACATGCATGGTCACTCTTGACTAGATTTGAAAACTTTCGTTTTGTTCAATATTGTGTACATATGTTCTTTGCGGATGTAGAGTAATCTCCACATTCAAAAGAGAATTATGCGCGTTTATTAATGGCTCAAATGTAAACTGATGTTAAATCTGATCATGATAAAGTGAAAATTTGACTCCATATTACCACTAAGACATTTTTGTACAAATCAGGTTAATTTTTTGTTAATCAGTTGATTTTGTAAAATACGTTCTAGATAGGGAATGTGAAAGTAGACATGATAATCCCAACGAAATATCTCAACATCATTAGTGTCTTTTTTATTGTATTTAACTTTGTAACTGTACCAATAATCGTACATTGCATAATTTTAGATAGATGGAGGGCTATGATTATAACAAGATTTCCCGTCCACACTACCTAACACTTAAGAATCTCTTCTGTTCCATGGAAAAATCATCAGTCAATAAATACACCTTACTAACTCTTCACAACTTTGGGCTGTGACGCTGGTTTTTATACACAATATCAGAGGCCGCAGTGTGCCTCCCCCCCCCACCAAAAATAAAAGTTAATCACTTCCTCAGTTTGTGGGTTATAGCAACCATCAGGTTGCAGGAGCCGATTTCTTGTTTGGACATAGTATAACTAAGGGATTTTGTTGGTTTTAAGCGCATCCTTGAGGACAGAAAAGAAGAAGAACTGCGAATAATATCACATAAACGTAATCAATTCTCAAACTATCCTAAAGTTATGGATTTGTCCTCCTCGAACGAGGTTGTTTTATTCCTCGCTATAAGTGCGATCTCTCGAGTATAAGGGGGGGGGGGGGTTTTCTTTCTCCAACTTCCAAAAAAACGTTCATCGACTCAAGTATAGGGTAATTTGGGTTATTGTAGGAAGAAATCTGAGACACGAGCTGCTCAGAGGCAAGCTCAGCAGAAGGCAAGAGACAATGAAACATGCAGAACAAACTCCAAACGAATTTGATGAACACACCACATGCTTGTATTAGCTAAAGCCGGTGACGGGTAAAAACCTCGCCAGGAGACCCACTTCTGGTGTAGATTAATCAGGAACCCAATTCGTAAACGGAATTCAGGTGCGCATTCTGAAGACGAATTGTGGTAATTTTAATGGCCAACATTCGCCTAGGTCCTCGCAATTGCTGTAGAACCGAGTCCCCTCCATCAGCCAATGTGAGGCACCCTATTTATTTGAGTTACTTTGATCCTTATACATCAGTATTTTGTGCAAAATCATCTCTGTCCTCTGTCTCGTCTTCTTCGTCATCTTCCAAACTGCACAACAATGCGTCATTTTCGTAAGTTGGGAAAAAATACCTGGAAATGAAAACAGGCACATTTTATCGATTTTCCTGACGTGTAGTCCTTTGCTTGAATTATGTATTGTTCCTATTGTTTGTGTTGCGACCCTGGGGGAAGATAGCTTGAGCAGACTCGCTGAGCAAAGGGTATCAGGAGTCTTGGATCACAATAGCATCTTGTTAAATGTACTACTGCCTTGCTGTTACAACGTCTACTAAATCCAGCTACAACTCCAACTGCAACCAAATACTATTACCAAAAAGCTGCGCGCTGATTTTTCCAATTGGCTGTGTTTTCATAACCATGGGAGCTGACACCACACCTGTGCTCTGTGCGAGATAGCGGCACATAGGACCGTGTAATAAACAATCTGAAGCACTAATAATTTAGAGAGAAAACACTCACAGATGTGTACCTTGCGCCGATAAAAAGTCCAAAAGTTTCATGCAAATAAAACACTTTAAACAGTGAAAACTATAGAAACATCGAACTCTAGAACGTATCAACAAGAAGCCCAGAAACATCTAACTACATAACATTTCAATTACATAACATTTGTAAAGTGAACTAAAAAGTTCAAAATTAAGGAGATAAAAACTCACTGTGGTTGATCCCACACCGTACGGTCTTCAGGTACAGCGAAGTGTTGAGCTTTTTTCATGTGTTCTAAAACAGTGACCTTGTCTTGGAAATTCTCTTGACACTTAATACAGTTATTTTTGTAAACCTGCAAAAATACAGTAGGGACTGGTTAATGATAATGATAATGCCCTCTTATCGCAGTTTCGTTCCACCCACAATGACTGACCTCCCAACCAACCCACTATAAAGGTAACTGTGAAGAACAGCTTCCCTCAACCGACTGTCGGCCAACAGTCGGCAAACAATCGGTCGGCCGCCGGCAACAAAGTTCTCACGGTGTTTGACACCAAAAGATCAGTAGAACAAAACAAAACAAAATAAAAATCAAGAAGTACACCGATAATGTTGAGATTCAATGGCGGAAAAGAAGTCCGGGGATTTAAATCGCCGGGGTCGGTCCAAATCCGCTAACGGACTGATATGAACATCTTCTGGGACACTGGTCTAAATCTGTGTAGATCAAGCGCTTGCAACTGACACTGCACATAAACATATACCTGTCTTCTTATGTAATTGACGATTTTAACTTGGTGATAAAAGTCCAGACCTAATTGAAAAAAATAATAATTTAGACCTTTTAGCATGTTCATAAATAAATGTCTATGTACAAATATAATGTGAATTAGCTATTATCACTGATTGACAATTTTACTATCAAGATTGACTGACTGATTAATTCACTTCGTTCAGCCAAATTGAGTTTGTGTTGTAGGTTTCTGTAACATTTAATTAGCTCCACGAGCTCCAAAGACACGAAGTTACCCCAAGGTATGAAGAATATTGAATTTGACCTTGAACGCTAAGCTATTTAAAGCTGTCTGTCAGAGTGTAAGGGTTAAACCTTATACTCGAAAGATCCTCTTATAGTGCATTTTGATCGAGTTTCGAAAAAGCAGAACCAAAACCAAAGTAATGACGACGGCAAATTACAACATGAGATAACATGTCATGGAGCTGATGAGAACCCCAAGGTAAAATCAAGCAAGTTTCCCTAACCACGGGAAAGAGGTGCAGGTTTTCTGGACCAATCTAGCAATTTTCTTAGCGAAATGTTGTCCAATTCCTAATATAGAATTTACTGTTTTACACCCTCAATATGAAAGGGTTGTACATTTTGATCATCTGTTAACTGGAAGGTGAATCAAATTTTGAGGAAAACTGTTCGGAGTTTGAGGGTTCAGAGTGCTGTTTTTAATTAATATCGACTTTACTATTATACTGCGGTTGTTGATTAAACTGTTGCCATACATCAAACTTACCAAAAGAGCTCTTAATAGTGTAAAAATCGAATAAATGCTCCTCCTAAGAGAGAGAGAGAGAGAGAATGTTGTTCAACGACTAAGTGAAGACAAAACAATGAACGGTGACAATGTTTGTAGGTAGAATCAGCAATGTAATGCGTGCTTCAGGGCAGTAAATATCAACCGGTGTATGACAAATATCAAATTCTACTTTTTTTTGACAGTCAATTATGGACACTGGCTTCACCTCTATCTACATGTACGTGTACCTTCATGTGCTGTAGAATCTCATTAGTGGCAGGGCTAGAAGATTCACAGAACAAGCAAACACACGGTGGTAAATCACCCTTCCAGTCACTCCAGTCACTGCCGAGAAATTATTTTTGGTGTTAATTTATCAGTGGAGGAAAACAGGGCAGCCTCGCCTTGTTTGTTAATTGATTTAAATTTTTGCAAACTGAGACACTCAGCTTGAAGGAGAGACTTCAGGCCTATAACCCATTGTCTGTTGGTTTGTTGGTTTGTGATTTAGAGAAAAAATTAAACTGATACCTTTGATTTTTCGGTTTTTTGATTAGTATTAAACGTTCACACAGACCCTTAACATTGATGTGGACACAGGAGAAACCTCTTGTTATCGGGAGACTTTGGATGGTGAAAGAAACATGTTTTTGAACAAAAGTTTAAATATTAACTACATAGAATGTATAACATGTTGAGAAAAATATTGAATCACAAATTACCAGTGTACAACAGGATAGAATGTTACACCTTTAGTTACTTGATTACACGTGACAATTAGGGGTTAAAGGCACTGCTTTAGCTAACAGCAGCGCTGGAATTCAGCCAACTATCATGAAGTTTGTTATGATGGGGAGCCAATTGTGCCAAAAATATCAATCGCTATTGATAAAACTCAATCTTTAGTGCTAAAATATCAATCGCTAAATATAGTGAACCAGTCTCCCGCTTGTTATGCAAAGATAAACCAATCAAATCTTGCTTACTTTCTTGAAATCTGATAAGGGACATTAAAATGAGAATAAAGGTAAAGACAGACCGGCACGGACTCCCCATGTGGCTTTTGTGGTCGCGTCGCATTATCGCCTTCAAATTACATTTTTGCTCTCACAAGCGTGTTTAAAGGGATTTTCCTTGGTAAGAGATGATCGGAGGTTTTGTAAAAATTGTTGTCAGCAAGGGCTGATTGTGTATCAGACTCAAATGCTCCATCAGTATTTGTTTGAAATTTTTTATTTTTAAGGATTAAGCCGTGTGGTACGTTGTCACAAAAGGCAATAAACGTTCGTGACCTTTTGGCTTTTGTGTACGTGTAAAAGCTGATTATCTAAAGGCAAAGTTGACCCCTGATAGAGACCTCTCTATGATGTTTTCCGGTTACCCTCTTGCTTTGAGGCGTTGTTTAAATTTCAAAAGGCCCTCTTTAAATGTTTCTTTCGAAGAGTTGGTTCTAGACAATCCTATTGCTTCGCCTTTAATGAAGCCATATTTTACGCGTGATGGGTGGCACGAAGCGAAGTTCTCGGTGACGGCTTGTAATGGGTTTTGAAGTCCAAGATGGGATCCGAATCTTTCTCCTTTAAACAATCTGTTATCAAGGAAAGTGATTTGGTTCTCTGATATTTCGGCCGTGAATTTGATAGTAAGGTGGAAATAAGCTCGTTTAATAAACCTATCTACCTCTTTTCTGTCGCAATCCCAAAGGGAAAAAACGTCGTCTATGTAACGTCTCCATTCTCTTGGCTTGGTTTCGCTTTGTAAGATTAATTTCGTTCCAGTTTCCGCCATAAAATTATTGGCAAATGACACTGCCATTTTCGTACCCATAGCGGTTCCGTGTGTTTAGAGGAAGTTCTCCTCACTGAATTGAAACGAATTTTCTTTAAGAATTGAGCCAAGCATGTCCCTAAGGTAGTGCGTTAGGATAGGTGCGTTATGGTTGTGAAACTTTTCGTATGCTTCACATACTATATTCGTTCCTTCATCTTGAGGTATATTTGTACAAGCTAGGAACGTCCATTGATACTAGAATAGTGCCTTTGCCTATCTTGTTTTTTCTAAGAAGTCGATAGAAGCAGTGGTATCCAGGATTGTTGCATTTGCGCGATAGGCTGGACTAGTGTCTCCACAAAAGATGATATTCTCTCAGTAGGGCCGTCACGACCTGAGATTAGGGACTTTAGGCAGTCAGGACGGCAACGCTAAGGAAGACTCCGATTAAAAAAATGAATTTCTGCCTTTGATTAGAATTTCAAAAATGGCTGCATTTGTTTACCGTCTCATACGGTGCCACACCTCAACTTCAGCATAGCGTATAAAAGAAGCGTTGAGTTCCAAATGGAAATTAAAATAATTTGCCGTCGCGGTTTTGGTTCCCAGACGACTCAAATTGTGGTGATTTCACGTTGTTGTTTTGCAGAAGACGGCTAAGAAAGTACAAAGTTTTAATACGCACGTGCTGAGCTACTGTTCTGCCAATTAGATCTTTTGTTTTTCCACGTCCTCGTTGCCGTCGTGGTTTGCTTAAGGTCCTTATTATAGATCTACCGACCGGTATAGGTTTGTGTATTTTCGTGAGCGTATAGGATATTGGGATTCTAGGCGGATTGGGAGTTTGTGAAAGCCATTTCTTGGTCATGTCATCAATGTGTTTGCCGCAATTCATTTCGTCAATGATCCCATTAACCCTTGCCTGTGTATTTTTGACTATCGATGCTCTAAGAGGTTTGTAGTGAACTCTGTTGTCGAGTTGCACTTTGCCGGGCCTCTTCCTTTTTTTCTATCTTATTCATTGTAACTGTTGTTGTACCTTTGTCTGCTTTTTGGAGGTTTAAAGCAGAGTTGTTTTTCAACTCTTTTAGAGCCGTGACCTCATTGCGTGACAAATTATTTTTCGGCTTGGTTTAAGTGATCTCTGCAAGCTGTGCTTTGACATTTTCCAAGTGGCTCTCAAGTCCCTCTCAAGGGCGATGGTAGGCTGAACAGGTGGCATCCAGTTTGATTTAACACGAAACGGATGTGGTTCTTTGTTTTTTCCGATCCCAGCGCACTACCTCAGGGAAAAGTTTGGTTTATGAGAGAAAAAATATTATGAAAGCGATAATGCGGCGCTACCACAAAAGCCACATGGGGAGTTAGTGCCGGTCTGTCTTTACCTTTATCCTCATTTCATTGTCACTTATCAGATTTCAAGACAGTAAGCAAGATGTGATAGGTTCATCTTCGCTTAACAAGCGGGAGACCAGTTCGAGTTAAAATCGTTAACAAATCGATTCTAGCACTAACGACTGAGTTTTATCATAAGCGATTGATATTTTAGCACTAACGATTGAGTCTTGTCACTAGCGATTTATATTTTGGCACTAACGATCGAGTTTTATCACTAGCGATTGACATTTTAGCACTAACGATCGAGTTTTACCTCTAGCGATTGAAATTTTAGCACTAACGATTGCGTTTTATTACAAGCGATTTCTATTTTTGGCACAAATGGCTCCCCATAAATCTCTGAATGAAAGTAGTTGATAACATAATGCAAACCTAAAATACTTTGAATGCCTTTTCAATTGCATTTGTTATTAACCCATATGAGGCCAATAATATCCTTAAAGATGAAAAATCGATCAATGAAACTTACTCTTCATCATTCTTATCAGTTTTAGAGTCTACATCTTCTTCCTCTTCAATTTCATTTTGAATGTCTTCCCAAGTTTTTCCCAATTCCTTTTCGTAAAGAACAAATACAACAGCAAAATTATCATTGACATGTTGTTCATCGCATGACGAGGTCACCTTTCGCAACAGAAAAGAAAAAACAAAATTTGACATTACCCCTCAAAACTTACAAATGATCTGGCTTCTAAATTGTGAATGTCCTCTTAATATCAATTAACAACAATAACCAAAAACGATCCAAGTCCTTAAACCTACCAGATAATTTATGACATAAAATCGATCATATTCTTTATTCTTGGGGTTGATTTTCTTGTGTTGTTTCTTTCTCATGTGATCTTTGAGTGCTGTTCTGTCTTTGAATAACTTCTCACAAAATAAACACTGCAAACTTAAAGAAAATTACTGGAAGCAAGTTTTATTATGCTTTATGAGTCTGTAGAGCAACATTTAGACTCACTTCTCCCAAAAGGAGTCCAAGAGGTCTACATTGGCATATTCATATCAAGATAAGAATAAGTAAGACTTGACTAGAGTTCAATTATCAATGTTCATTTGTCTTCTCAAGTAGCACAATCTATCTGAACTATTTCTATTTTAAGTTTTGAATTTCACCACATAGTTTTGAGGAAATTTGAACTTGTAATTCCTCTGATGTTCAGGTTTCTTCAAAACTTTGATTACAGAGAGCATAAATGATCATACTTTGCTTTCCAGTTCACTTGTTTTGAACTTTTGGTGTAACAGGCAGTGAAAGCAGACCCACGATACACAAGATAATTAAAATTTTCTCATAAAATTGAATTTAGAAAACATTACTGTACATTTGCCTAATTTCTGCATGAACAACGCAGGATATTTTTCAACCTTATGACACTGATAGTGGTGGAAGTGTTCATCATCATTATCATCATTATATCATAATCATTGTCAACACCATCATACAATGACAAATGTTAAAACACACAAGAATTATCTCCAAGACAATATTTTCACAAGCTTACTTGGTTAATTTTGTTTCCAAAGTGTCTAGGAATTCATTTACATTCACTAGGAGAAAAGGGAAAAAAAACATTAATTGTGTGGGTAAGTTATTTGGTATCATCACATATCATCTAGATGCATATCTTCATGTATTTGGGTGGGTGCTTATAATCATGGTAAAATCTCAGCACAATCTCCAAATAGTTTTCACAGTTATCTGACACAAAAAGTTCATATGAATGTCTCTACTAGGAATGTAATAAGCATTTGAATGCAAGTGAAAAAAAGTTATCTGTTGAAGCCTACATAAAAAAGGTTTGGACCCACATGTGCACTCTAGTGATTTGTGATACTGAAAAACAACCTTAAATTTTAAACCCAGTGCTCCTACAGAGCACATGGATAATTAACCCATTAATTTCCAGAAGCGATTAACATGCAACTTCTCCTAATAATATCCATACATTATCCATCAAACAGGTAATGAGGATAAAGTTGTTATCTAGATCTAACACCACATTCTCATAACTAATTAACTAGGAAATGTGTAGCAGCTAGAGGGGAGAATCAATCATCAGATCTTAGAGAGTTTAAGGATTAAACTTTGATCCAATTCTTTAGGTATCTTAAGATAAGATACTTATCTCACCTAAGTTATCAGGAAGGCCTACATTAAATCCATGATCTGATACCATATGTGTAAATAATGACGACCTAACGATAGAACACAATATGTGATTAGTCTCTGGCCAGTTGTCTGCAAAACAATTTTGATCAACTTGAATCCTCTTTACATGTGCACATCTACTTATCCAACTATGTAGTACGTAGTAGTATAGGAGCATTTGGTTGTACCTAGTAGTACAGAACTTAAAATTTACACTATTTAAGCTCTTCATTATTATATTCATTGCTATTTATCTTTAGGTATTTATTTTCATGCCCACATTCCAACAAGCCACATGCTCCTCTGTCTAGCCAGCTTAAATAAAGTATTGTTGTTGTTTTTGTTGTCAGATAGAGTAGCTTAAATGAAAGAGAAAGTTGTTTTAGAAAATATTTTGCCACATGTATATTACAGTGCTTTCAATAAGATTTGAAGAAGGAGGCTGCCTTGGTAAAGCACCTGCTGGAGAATAATAGGGAAAACAATTTCCTTCTTGTTATCCCGTTACTTCCATTCAGAATAAACTGGCTTCAAACAGAGCTTTGGGTGTTGAACTACCATTTTCAACTACCACTTCCTCCTTGGTACAATTGTTTAACAGATCCTTTTATTTCTAATTAAAGTCTTCCATTTGCTGATGTGCAAACCTGCTCCCTGAGTTTCACACAAAAAGTCCTTTAAAATGACATATGGTTTCTGGGTGCCAAAATTTGGGTAAGTATGTTCTTGGAAACTTAAAATATTTTTTCGCTGGAAATGTATGAAATGTATGCTGGAATATATGATAAGACAATATCAATAAATTTTTATCAAAACTTGTTTCTAAAGGTAAAAGTTGCCTGAAAGAACTCTAGAAGATTTTGAACTTTTTTAGGTCTCACTTTGTGAGTTTGCTTGAAAGCTTCCAAAGTATACCCTGTTAGTCACAACAGAAAACCCACTATAGCTTTGGCTACCTGTCAGGTAGGTATAATTGACAAAAGAATGATAATCATCATTCCAAAAAAATAATTTTAAACCCCCTTCAACTCCCTAAGACTCCCTTGTGGCTTTCAGGTCTTTGGGAAAGAGAAAATTAGCAACAGCTCCAGTATGAACAATTAGGAAATAATTTTAGGCTTTTCCTGAAAATTAAACAGTACCTATTATAATTATATTCTCCTCGGTAGAGAGAGACCTTGTAAGAATAAATTATCTTGCCTGAGAGCAACAAACTGACTGACTGCAAGGCTTCTTAATGCAAAGTTCAGCCCACTAACCATTAACAATGTTCCAACAAGCTTCTTTTTAAGCATTAAAAAAGCTACATCAGAATCGAAGAAAAATATCATCAAAAGCCTTACTAGCACATGGTATGTTCAACAAACCTGTTGCCTTCAAAGTGTTGTTTACAAAAAAGACAGCCTCTTGAAAAGTGTGTATCTGATCTTTCTCGCTGCTGACACTCAAGAACATCTTCCTTCCGAGAAAAGAAATTGTAAGTTGTTTCTTTACCATTCCTGATTAAAATACTTGAAAACCAGATTCTATTTTAGGAGGGTGAAACCATGCATGCATACAGGTAACTAGGACAGGCCAAATTGTGACTTAACTCTGTAACCCCTATGAGTGACAAGCATCAAAATTTCTTCCTACAATGTCATCCCTGAATCAAATTTAAAGGTAACAAGAATACAGGAAATGATTGCCAGTTAAATGAACTATTGATTGTTAAACAAATTCTCCTTATGCATCTTAAGAAATGCATAGAGAGCAGTATGGAGAACATGTATTCTTATGTTAGGCTGTAAAGGTTTAAAAGTAAGTAGGAAACACCTAACCCTACCAGCCTCTGACGTTGCAAATCTTCCCTTAGATTCCTATCTTCAGGAAGTGAATCACACAAGAGGAAGTATTGAATCTTAGGACCAATATCTGTCAAAATGAAAAACATTTTTGTTCAAATCATTATATTCTACTAAAGCACATAGTGACAACATTTCTATTGAGAACTCTAAGTTTAAAAGAAAAGCTTGAACTCTTTAACCCCTAAGAGTGACTAACATCTAATTTCTCCTTACAATATCACCCTTAAATCAAACATTAAGGTTGTGAGAATAGAGAAAAATGATCACCAACTAAAGCAGCTGTTGATTTTTAAATAAACTCTCTTTGTCAGCACCTTAGGAAACGTATCATGAATAGTGTGGAGCACATGGATACTGATGCTAGGGGGTAAAGGGTTAACTAAACAAATAAATAATATTTTTTTTAAGAGCAAATTCAATTTATTTATGACTTCTTTCTTGTCCACATAATTGTATTAACCCTTTAGCCACTAAGATCAATATCATATCACCCCTGAATCAAGCATCATAAGGTTATGAGAATAAAGGAAACTATTGCAAACTCAGGAAGCTATTGATTGTTGGACAAATAAAGTTATCCTTGTAAGTACCATAGGAAATACAAAGAACAGTATGGAGAATTTGCATACTAATGTTAGGTTTTAAGGGTTAGTAATCTTAATCATTGGATCAAATCTACAACTCTTACAGGGATCACTAGCTGATAGCATTTCCCTAATAATCAAATGCAATCTTATGAAATGGAAACTCTGATCTGATTCAAGATTAACAGCAAAATTGTCCTCATTCCCTCTTAACCCTACCATCCCATTGTTACTGTGCAGATTCTCGATACTGTCCTCTGTACATCTCCTGAGGTGCTAACAAAGAGAATTTGTTTAACACTTTAACTCCCACAACTGATTAACATGCAACTTCTCCCAATATTATCCATCCATTATTTAGCAAACAGGTATTAATGAAAATACTCAAACTTATCAAATAGAAGTTTTTATCTTGATCTAACTCCAAATTCTCAGAAATGTGCAGCAGTTAGAGATGAAAGGGAGTGAAAGGGTCAATGACCAAGAGCTTCTTTAGTTGGTAATCATTTCCTTTAATCTTGTGAACTTCATGTTTGATTTGGGGGTGACATTGTATGGGAAAAATTACATGCTAGTCACTCTTCAGGGGTCAAAGGGTCAGCACAATTTGTCATGACCCATCCATTAATATTCTATTGGCTACTTTACATCGCAAAATCACCAGATAGTTCTGATGCAATAACCCCCATCTACATCCAAATTTTTACTCTGATTATTTCTATAAAAAAGATGGAAAGCCTCAGGAAAAGCCCAACTCAAGAGTTTTCTTTTCTTCATCTTTATTCCTTCACATGGATGAAAAACAAACTTGCTTTGTGACTTTAAAAAAACTACCCAAATGCTGCTCTGTTAAGTCCAAAAAAATAATTGCACTTTTTTTTGTCAACATGTAATATTAAAATTAATGGGAGGTTTATAAAATAAATAAACCTCCTTCTGGTTTGCTAAGGAGTCAGCTGATAATGTCCTTGGGTGAGAGATTGTCCTCAAAATTTTACATGTGCACCCAAAGCTTTGCTTCTTGGCCTAATATTCTCTCTCAGCCATGGGCATTATCAGCTGACATAACAAGGGCCTAAAGGTGATTACTTCCTAACTATTGTCACCAGTTAAAGTACCAAAGGGACTAAACAAATAATATCATCAAGGTGGAATATGTAGCAAACGTACCATCAGGTTTGGAATTGATGTTGATGACTGGACACACCTCTGTTATGGGTTTCTCTTTTAGTCTTGTTTTCCAGTAACAAAGATACCTGTGGAAAGCATAATGAATTCGAATTCAGACGAAGAGCCACCCGGTGAATTTGTCCCTGTGGAATATAAATTTATGTTTATCAAATTATTTAGAGACATAAGGTGTCGAAACTCAACGATGAGTTGCAAAAAAGGTCCCTTCTTGAAACGACGTGTTCTCGTACCTCCTCAGGTCGCAGACTTGACCAACGTCTCCGATAACAAGTTGATGTTCTATCAGCATGTGATGCAGCACAGCATCATTTTTCCCTGAGGTGTTTGGGAATTCCTTCTCACAGAAAATACAAGGGACTTTAAGATCCAATTCCGGAAACTCTGGCAAAGACTTCTCTGGAAAAGTCAAAACTTTGATTCCTTGTTGTAATTGGCTTCCTACGAAAGAATATGAAGTCAAAATCAGGTAAAAAAAGAGTTATTTTTCAAATCAGATTGAATGATTTTCCACAAAACCACTCATACCTCGATCGGCCATGTTGAGTGTTTTCTCAAAGTGACACATTATGCGATTTACACAAACACTATATTAATTCCCGCCAATTTGAAGATAGTACCCATTCCTCACGGAGCCGCAAATATTCAAGTTCTGGGGCGGCTGTTGTCACGTACGAGGTCAAATTAGTAATATTTTGCAGCTTTTTTACGGAATTGGAACCATTGATACGGTAGGCAAAAGCTATTTGTGTCGGTCTAACTTAATTTCGTAAACACAAGACTCAATAAGAATCATAACTTATTTGTAGAGGGTCGTAAACAGATTCGAGGTCATTTGCATGCAAGCTTTTTCGAAGTAGCTAATATGCCGGAGAACATCAACAAAGATGTTGTGTCACCTCGCCTGAATGCTTAAACTAGGAGAGTTTGCGAATTAACATTATCAGTTTTACATTTTGGGTGGTAGAATTTTCTCGTTAGCGTGCAGTTATCTAGAAGAACGTCGTCAGCTAATCGACGAAAGAGGAGGTTAAACCGTTCACGTGGTTTTTCCCGTAGCAAGGCATGTTCAGTTATATTTTGATCAATGACAGAGGTCATCTTTTTACGTGTTTATATCTGACCCCTCGCCATAGTTATGCGCTATCCGTTGTCGGTGGGATTCGAACTTAGATCAGGTTTCTACTTTTGGCTCGACCATTGTGGCCTGCGGCGGGTGTGAATTGGATTGCATGCAGTGAAAGATGAATCCTCACTGAACAGTAAACACGCGATGGAGATGGATTGTAGCTTTCTTTTAGCCAAGAATATGCCTTATGTCGTGTCGCCGAATCACTTAAATGGTTCGTCCCTCAACTTTGAGCCCTATATCGACAGGGTCTTCTTTTGCAAATATGTGCTGTTTCGGTCTCCATTTTCGAAATTGTTGTTGTAACGCTAATGAGATAAAACATCTGATCTTGAAATGTGTCAACCAGCTCCTCACTTTTCGCAGTCACATTTAAAGTGGCCATGGGTGGTATGAATTTGTTTGTTTGTGAGGAAAATAATAAATAAAGAAGTGAGATGCTTGTATCAAAAAACAAAACCAGTGATATAACTCATTGTTTCGCAACAAAATTGTCAGACTGAACAGTAATTTTATGATAAGTTTGTTCTCGGTTGCAAAAATTTCATTATTGACATTTCTGTGGTCAAGAGGCTGCCGGGTTCCTATGGATGCAAATCACTTTTGTGGTAAATTGTATCCAATTCTTATTGGCATAACTAATCAACCGTGCATTGTATTAGGAAAAAGAAAAGATGGCTTGAATTACCACTCATCAGTGCTTTTGTTTTAGATCCTGTTTACTCTCACATCCTGTCCATGAGGTTGTTCTGATGAATGTTTACTTTGTTTGAAATAGTCTTGGACCAAAAAGTATAATATTTGAAAAAATATTTTCTCCTGAAGTTTGAAAATCTCACAGGTATTGTATGTACTTTAAAGTAGGGATTAAGACTCTTAGAGAGGCACACAACTGACACAATTAAAAATCTGAGTGAAATTTTGCAGTTTCTTTTTGGAAGTTTATTAGATGTGTCAGATTATCATTTTCAAATGTTTGCTGGAAAAATTTAACAGATTTATTTCAATAGTTAAATGGCAAGTACTACTTTTATATAACCAAAGTGCTTTTTTTCTTCATTTTTGAAGTAGAGCATTGTTTTAAAGGTTACGCTGTTGAAATATTTACTGTAGTTGAGCCAAATTGAGACAATTGCCTAATCCTAGAGGCAGGGAACGAAACAAAAAGACATCAATGAGCAATTTATTTTCAATCTATTCAAATGCAATGCTATGCAAATCAAATGCAATTTCAGCTATAGTTAACTTGAAGCCTCAGTTGGCAAACGCATGTTTGAACATCGTATTGAAACAATGGTAAACTAACCACCATAATATAAATATGCAGCATTGTGCTGGCAAAGTAAGTAAAAAAGTTATTTATTTTGTCCCAAGCATAAGGTAAAGAAAATGTCAAAGTTGTACATAGGATTCAAACCTCAAACCTTTGTGTTTTGCAGTCTATTACTCTACTACAGAGTTATGAAAAATTTATTTCGAACTAGGCCATACACTAGGTTCATTTGCGACAAGCATCCAACATAATGCTAGGATTAGAAATCTTGCTGGTGTCATGGTCATGTGTGTTGATAGATAAAGAAGAATGGTAAACTTTTGAGGTATTTTATTTTGTTGAAATGATTTAGTGTCCTTCTCTAATTGTAGCCATCATGTGGATCAGAGTAAGGACAATGGATGGTCAAAAAGACACACGTGTTAGGGGTTTGAGCAAACTTACCAAAATTGAAGACCTTAGGATCAAGCTTGAAGAAGCTTTTGATGTACCACCCAGTAAACAAAGACTATTCTTTAAAGGAAAACAGGTAATAAATTATCAATTTGAAACTCACTACTTGTAATTAAAGCAATTATTTTGCCAGCCATTTTATGACATTACGGCGACAGAAAGTATGTGTATGTCCTTCAAGCTGGGCTTTTTATGTAACAAACTTTTAAAGGAAACGTGTGATAAATAGAACTCTCAGGTAATGCATGGGAATATATTTTGAAACCTATAAAAAGAAATGATAAGGGAATAATAAATCCCTCTGATAACTCTTCAACAAATACTATAGAACTTGAACTCCTGTGTATTTGAACAAAATTGGATTACCTTTGGATTACCTTTGGATTTAACCCTTTTTTTAAGTCATTCACTATCAGTTTACTTGAAGTCGGCTAACTCGAACCTTCTGTCAACTTGAAGTAATTTTGTTTTTCCTGGCCTCAAATTTACCCTAAATACTCAAATTTTTAAATCAAAATGACTGAGGATTAACGTCAAAGTATCGGAAAATAGCTGATTGACACATCCCGCTCTTTAATCACGATTGATGCAAGCATAATAAAATTTACAAAAAATAATAGTTGCTGAGAAAATCAAGAGAAAATGGCAGAGGTAGCAAACTACTTATTAAATTATTTTTCAAAGAAGCATCTGCTGCTGAGGGCATGGAAGAAACAGACGCTAAATAAGTTTTTTTCAAATGAGCGAAATGTCGCCAGTTTTATTGTTCACCATGCATAATCACCTCTCAGTTTCAGTTTTGTCATATATGTGATGTTTACTACTTAATGTAGGCAAGCCAAGTGTTCAACAAACATGGATAGTACTGTATTTTTCAGTCACTACCCAAGGAACAGTACAATTACTCTTGAGTGCGTTCATGTATTTATAGCAATTTAATTAGTTGTTTACGGTATCTTTGTTGAAAAATTAAGATGTCCTTAACTACTGTGCTGGATCTTAGCCTCTTATTCCCAAAATATATATGGCAAAATATCCCTAACTAGTTCTTATCTGAAAGCAAATAAACTAAATGTTCCAAAATGACTGTTGACTGTGCAAGAGTGGTAAAATGATGATACCTTGATAAAAAGAAAATTGAAATTCAACACCGACCCTGATAACTTGAACCCCGCTAACTCAAACGTATTTTCTGTTTCCATAGGGCGTTAGAGTTAGTGGGTTCTAATGTAACACAAACAGATTTTTTATTTATTTCTTATTCTTTAAGGCTTAGGAAAGTACTCTGTAACTGGGAGAAATTTCCACCCCTATATTTCATGAAAAGCCGTGGAGTGAGGTGTACATTTTAATTTGCATACTGTTGGTTCCGGTAGTCTTACTTAATATTCACTGACCTGAGATATACATGAATTTACCATTGTATCTCTGCACAAAGTCTGGGAACAATTGGAGGATACAAATGCAACTATAAGTTCTTTAGATATTAGTTTGAACAACAAGCCACATTTCATTTTGTGCTGTATTCTGGTAATAAGTGTTTTATAATCATTAAACATCAGGTTGGATTTGGATCTCCGCCAAGTTATTGATTTATTAGTGAGATGTTGAAAAAAATAGAAAGACTACAATGATATGAGGGCTGATTTTCATGGAAGATTCAATCATGATTTAAGAGAACTTAAGCAGTGTGCATACTCGCTGCCATGGTTAACTACAATATTGTATTCCAACATGTCAGCCACACTCTATAAAGTTGACAAATGCTCTTTTAACAACCCTTTCATCTCAGGTGTGAAAAAACCAAATTTCTCCCCTAAATGTTAATACACTTTCAAGCAGAAGAGTGATGAGAAGTAAGAAAAATATTAACTCTGGAATGCTGGTTGATTTATTACTAGATTCCTTGGGGGTACAGTCATAAGAAATGTATGGCAGACAGAGCAGAGGATTGATATTTAAATTTTTGGAGCGGAAGGTTGATAATGACTAATATGTTCATATATATCCATGTTTATTATTCCACAAATATGCCATTTTACCAGATTAAGCACTGGAACAAACAAATTCTGCTGTGCGATTACTCCGTTGTTAAGGGCAGTGATTTGGATGGAAATGGGCACTAGGTTTGCTCATTGCTCACTGCTTTGTTTTTTCCTTACCCAAAAAAATACCTTGCAACTTGCAAAATACATGTATCCATGCATGTTATAAGTTAAACCATTGAATAAGGTGTATTTATTGCCTTTTGCACTGGTGTTGTATAAAACAACTGCTTCAAAGTACAAGGTCCAAATTCTTTCAATCTGTTTGTGGATGTGAAATTTGAGAAAGTGATAATCAAAGACATATTGCACTTCCATCTAAGTGACAGATGACTAGGAAACTCCCAAGTGATGCAGGACACTTGGATAGTGAAAGATAATTTAAGGTCTGGAATGTTTTTTTTTTTTAATTTGAATTAAAAAAAAATTTTCCTAAAAATTCAGGGTTTAAAAGCAAATGATGTATTTCTTTATTTTACAATCAAGGTCGGAATCGTTTATATTTTTATTTTAATAACCCACATGGTGCTGATCACTGCTATTTACAGGACACTGGAGCCAAGATTACCATTCGGTTCTCTGTAGCTAAGAAGTAGAGAAAAGGTGCAATCTGGAGCTCCAGAGTTCAATAGACCTCTTTGGATTGTAGTTTTTGTTAGGTCATGTGATGATTAACTCTAGACAACTGTTTCTTTCAATTTCCATGATTTATGAAAGAATAAGTTTGGAATTCCCATGAGACCTGATATAGATAAACAAAAGGTACAAGCTAAAGAGGTTTATTTCTGCAGATTTGTTTTTTTTCCTGTGCTTTTGATGAAACAAGTAACATCTTTCTTTACATGAAGAATAAGCCCACAATTCTCAATCTTTCTTATTTGATATGAACTTTGTTCCTTCGGATGGTTACGTCATGTTAATCCCCTTGGTGTATTGAACACCAATCAAGCTCCCACAGGTACTCTTTGTATGTAAAAATGAAACACTCTTTATCTTTTAGTTGAAACTTGTGTGGTTAAAATAAAACATGTATAGCCCTGGTTGTGAATGATACGCAGTGCAATGAATTGTTCTGATACATGTGTAAATCAAGTAATCTATTTGATTAATGCTTCTTTATTCTCTTGTTACTATAGCTTGAAGATGGTCACACGTTGTTTGACTATAATGTGGGACTTGATGAGATCGTTCAGTTAATGATAAGAACAATTGCTCCACCCAGTGACAAAAACAATAATGGAAAGCAAACCCAAGACGAAACTGAACAATCAGTCAATAAAGAAGATGACGAGTCTGCCATGCATGTCAATGGTCATGTTTCAGATGAGGACCAGGTGCAGTAATGATTCTTATCAATCATTCAGTCCATTAAGGTTATATTTTTATAGTGTGAAGCTAACACAAATCAGATGAGGTGTAATTTTTGTTTCATTGGTAACAGTCAGGTCTTAGAAAAATTACATTGAAGATGTTTTGAGGCTATAGGGTCTAACAAATATCTCTGTAGACATTTGACTATATGTTGTCGGTTTTTTATGTGCTAATAAGGAGTTAGAGGAGGACAAGAATCAACCAAGTACTTCAGAGGAAAAGGTTCCTCAAAGCCTCTACAAGGTTTGTTGTTTCATAAACTATCTATCTTTTAATGAACAAATATTGGCTGAATTAGGTCTTTTGTAAATATTTCTAAAACTTGAAAGCATTATTTCGTGAAGAGAGGTTATTATGGGTACCAAATCATCTTAATTGGACTTAAATCAATATGTTTTTGTTGTAAAATAATTATTATAACTTGAGGTGTAGAATAGGTAGAACAATGACATGAAATAATTATCACTCAGATAGGTGAAATGATAGATGGAAAGGATCCCAAGATGGGTGCATGGTTTGAGGCCAAGATTGTGGACATTTCTCTGGCAGATGAAAACAACCCAAGTTCCATTCTGTATCATGTGGTTTTTGATGGGTATGTGAAACTTTTATAGTGTACTTAAAGTCAAACTAGGGAGATAAAAGATTTGAATGAAGCCAAAAGACTTTTGACAAGGGAGATGAATTATAGGAATATTTGAGAAATTATTTAAGACTGTATTGTAAAGCATATTAAAAACAGTCACAACACATTTGTATAAAAATAGAAACAGAAATAGAGGAAAAGTGGTGGATTAGGTCATAAAAAGTTGTGGAATTCTGTTGGTGTAAAAATGCTCTGACGTAGGTTTAAGTAATGAATGAATTCAGCCTGAAATTAAAATACCTTCCTCCTATACAACCCTTACACCCCTTACTGCAAAATGCTTCTCAGGTCACCGTTTTGTTATTCTTATAGTTCTGAGGAAGATGAGATGACTAAGCTTCATGAGAATTCTATTAGACCCATTGCTAGAACTGCCCTTCCTTGGGAACAGGTAAATCAGCACTTTATTTAATGAGCAGCAAGGATTATTATCATGATCTTGTCACCTTTTGCTTGGTTGCTATGCCTTACAACAATTGGATTAGCCATGCCATTTCTTACTTTTAAGAATAAAAATCGGCAATAATGATTTCGAATGATGTTTGGATGACTTGTTCATCATTTTCAAATTATAAAAGTCAGATTCCCATTTGTTCTTCACATACCAAGAATGTATGTCAAAGTCTCACTGTATGTGGAATGTAGAGAGTGATTATTAAGTACTAAATAGTTTTGCTTTAATCGAGTCAAATGGAGTGTTCAGTTTAGGTTTCTTTTCTTGGATAAAGAGCATTTCATAAATTAAGCATTCAGATTTCCAACAACATTTCTCAAGGATGGTGAATTGCTGGTGTAGATCTTTGTTCCTCTGATTGTAGGCATCTCTCAGATGTTTTCCAAAAGCTGAGTGTTTGTGTTCATTAATGTGTTGCAACAATTTCAAACAGTCAATGTTTACTTGAGTGAATTAATTGGGTACCAAATCTGACCGGACAAATAGAGCTTCTGCACAATTTCAATCCTAATGGATGGTAATGAAATCTGTGTAGGGCTTTTTTGATATTCTTATTTGTTGCTTTGCAAGTTTGCGATATGCATTATTTTGGAAGCCATTGCAGGAGATCAATTTTGAAAAAGGGAAATACCTCTCACTGTTTTTATTTTTTGGTATCTTGATGCATGAAGTTTCATACCAAATTAATTTCTTACAAAAGACACATTTGTGTAAAAAGGAAGTAGGTTTTTTAGTTTTAAAATTGTTGCTGACATTAATGATAACAACTTTATTTAAGGAGGGTAACACATAACAGTAATTCAACTGATGAACTAGTGGCCCTCGATCCTAAAAGTACCATAATCAGAGTGAAAATATATAAAATGTATGTAAAATGAATTCGAGGATTATAAAACAGGTCCGTAAGAACGCAAGCTAAAAACTATATAAAGTAAAATATGCCGCTTGGGTCAGGTTAAAATAAAATATGCTGCTTGAGTTGCCTTGGTTTTGCAATTGAAACAAGGGCAAGCAAGATTTAATATACTATCGCATTTGAACTAAAATGTTCTACTTCATCGTGTCTCACGAGAAAATGTCTGTAAAAGGCCTTTCTGAAAGAAGCAACTGTTGTCGTCTCTTTTTTTTACGTTAGTAGGTAGCTGGTTTCACAGCCTTGTTGCAGATATGCTAAAGGTCCTCTCCCTTGGTTTCACCACTGAAACGAGGGCAGGAGAGATTTAATTTACTATAGCAACCAGTTCGTGAGTGTAGGTCTGCTTTAAATTTAAGTATATCGTACATATATGAAGGACAGCTTCCTAGTAAATACTTAAAAACTAAAACGCACTTATTTCACTTGACTTGATCATAAAAAGGGGGCCACTCTAATTTTTGAAAAAGTTTCACTCTGTTCAACCTTGTATCAGCTTCCAATATAACTCGGGCAGTGCGTTTTTGAAGCTTGAAGACTCTCATTATGTTATCACTTGAACAGTTTGACCAAACAGTTGATCCATATAACATTAGCTGTTTAAACCTTTGGGTGACCACGTGGAATTGGAAATGCTGACTGTCCATAGAAACACAAATTTATCTTGGAAGCTGGCTTGCAATTTCAATTTCAAGCTTATTTTAAGAAACTTAAAAGAGGCTGAAGTACCCCAAAGAAGAACTTTTAATGGTTCCTGTTTGGGTGTTAGCAGAGAAGATTACCACAAGCCCTTATCCATTTTGGTGACATTTTTTCAGTTGCCTTTCCTTGTTGAATTTCTTAAAATTCTTTTATTTAAAGCCAAGTTTCTGTTTGACTTTAACCTAAGTGCTCTTCCCCTTTTTATCTTTCCCTGTTCACAGTCTAATTTTGTAAGTGACACATAGCAAATATCACCTTGCATAACTGAAATCAGGAGATGGTTACGTGATTGAAATTCAAGAATCAGGATGTTCTGCCGTAAAAAAAAACACTTTGAGGGTCATTTGCGGTGACTTGTTGTAATTGGCTGTTCACACTTTGGCAGTGAAAGAATTCAATTTTAGAATAAATTTTTGTAAAAAAAAATTGTGTTTCAACATTTTGGAAAACATGTTCTTGGATACTGTGGTTAACATAGTAATACCTAGTTTGACACAAAAGAGAAAAAAAATTTAAAAAAAATTGGTCTTTGAAGGCTATTGTACCCTTAAGTTGCATTTATGACATGAAAAATTTAGAGATCAGTATGATTAAATATAAAATTCTCAAAGAAATTACTAGCGAAGATTGGTGTCAAACCAAAGGGGGCTAGGATCTACTTGAATACAGAACACAGTAGATTAGCAGATGTTGTAAACTGTACTGAGCCTATTCTCTTCTATTTTGCCAAGACATGGCTGAAACTGTTCAGCAGTTAAAAAGGTATTTCCACAAGCAGTGGAATACGAATGTGGTCAGAGCACAATCTCACTCACACCTACAACAGTGACATGTACTCAAAATATGTTAGATTAAAAGTTATTTGAATAGAATAGATAAATAGGCTTAAAAAATTATTTATGGAAAAAGTATAGATTCTGTGAGCATAGCCCTGTCAACAATGCCTAATTGTTATTCTTATGGTCTGTTTATTTTTCCTTCAAGATCTCAGTGGGACAACATGTAATGGCAAATTACAACCATGATGAACCAGATGAGAGAGGTTACTGGTATGATTTCAAAATCACAAAAAAGGTACAATGATTAAATGTTTGCACAAAATAACAAAATCTTACAGAGTTGGCTAGGGGTGATTATCAGGGTAATTTTTTATTAAGGTGTCATATTTTTTTGTATAAACTGTGTGCTAAGTTACTGCCTTAACATTTGTATTTTACAGCTGGATGGTTTTACAAGAAAAAGTAGAGAGCTTTATGCCAGATTGTTGTTAGGGTAAAAAATCTATTTTATTGTTTTCATTGTTTTCATTAGTTGTTTGTGGATGTTTTGTTCAGGATTGTAGATAAGAGCTGGTAGCCGGCGTACTTTGCCAGCTTCTCTGCAAGGTTTTGCGGGCTACTTTCATTGCTTTGAGAGCCCATACAGAGATGATGTTTATTGGGTCTAAACTTGGGCTTCATAAAAATATAGATTTGCACTGCCTATCTTTTCTGAAAACATAAAAAGACTTCTGACTCAAGGTTAGTTTAAAAATGTTTTGATGGGGACTGTCTTTTTGACATATTTTGATGTGGTGGCAGGAAAGTATGACCGATATGAAGTTTTGTCTGCCATACTGGATTTCGAGACCCACAACTGTTTACCCTTAAAAGGCTCTGGCTACTTAAAACCTTAAAGAAAACCCTGTTGTTTTGTAACAAGTTTGTTTAACAAAGAAATGTCATGATACAGATGAGAAAATTTTTTGCATTCTTTGTTGTGAAATGCCAAGGAATTAAAATTTTTTAAATTTTTATTTGATTAAAACAAGAGCAAGATGTTTTTAACAACTAGATATTTAATTAATTGCATTAACATTTTTAATTATATATAGTAGAGTCTTTACAGTTTTCTTATTGTATTTATATATATATTTATGTATATTAGTAATTGTAAGCTAGATGTAATTCAGCCTATGGCTGCGATGTTTTTTGTTAATAAAACTATCTATCTATTTATCTATCTATCTATCTATCTATCTATCTATCTATCTATCTATCTATCTATCTAATAACCAAGATTTCATTAAGTTTAATAAAACAACAGACACTTTTCTTCAAGTGATTTTAGAATATTAAGGAATATCAAACTGCTTTCTGTATCATTATTTGTATTAAAAAAAGTTGTTTTTCTGTAAAGCATTTTGGAAGTGAAATACTCTGGTGGAAAAGAAATTTTGAAAAGTAGAAGGTGGTGTCAAAAGTTAGCATCAAGCTTAGTATATTTGTGGATAGTCAAGTATTGAAATAGCTATGGTACTATATATATGTATCTCTAAACCTATTTCACCTCTTGTTCTAAGAAATAGCACAGAAGACACAGTTGCAGAAGAGTGCAAAATTAAATTCATTGACAAAGAAATATTCCAGATTGAAGGTCCCCCAGGTACAGTGAAGAGCCTTGAGTATGTTTTGAACTGTTTCATCAATTTTGTTTTGAAGCAAGCACCCTGTCTGAAGCAGATAGTGGCCAAAGTCCTTATTTTGTATTCCCTTACTTTTTTATTTATTATATATGTTTAGTGGATACAGACACTGAAATTGGGTCCTTAAGAGGTTTTATCACAGAATGTTGTATTCTTTGTGGAAACTGTGCAGTCTCAAAATTTATTTTAGTTCCTTAAATGTTGTATTTTGTTTTAGAGGGAAATGTGTTTTGAAATATGCATGTTCAAGCACAAATCACAATAATTGAGACTTGTTAATAGGCACACCATACAACAAAGTTTATCCAAGAAAAACAAGGCTCAAAGAAATTAAAAGCAATCTTTTTTTTATATACAGATCCGTGTAGGTCAGGGGAATCTATAAGTTCATCCAGCAGTAGATCTTCACCAGCCAAAAGTATGCACATAAAATGTACAAATAGACATTATTCTTAATAAGAACACTAGGTACTAAACAATTTTAGAACCAGGTCAGCATATAAATTAAATCAAGTGTTGTTGTGTTTATTTTGTTTGAGCAATATGAACAAGAAAGAGCCATATCAAAAAAATCTTTAAGATATTTATATGTCAGTAGCTGGAAGCATTAATCATTTTGTGTTACCAACTATTTCAGCCCTTTCACTTTTAAAATGTGACTTTATTATACATGTAGCTCTCCCTTTCCTTAGCTATATGTTTTCTTATGAGAATTTAGTGTTGCATCAGGGACTAATAATTTTTTCTTTGTCCCATGCTTTTGACAAAACGAAACAAAAATTGTCTCTTTTTTTTTAACCCTAGATGTGTTTGTTTTCTCTTTTCCCCCACTGGCTTGATAATGTATCAATATTTTAAGGATAAGTAATCACTGTTTTGAGTTGAAGCATTACACATTGTCAAGTGTGCTATGTTAGTTTTACCTCATTGCTAATTGTGCTGAATGTTATAAAGGACAAGTGAAGCCTGACTGCAGCTACTGTAAAGATGACCCAAAGAAATTGTGCAAACATTGTAATTGCCATAAGGTAGAATAAAATTTATTATAAGTTATGAGAGTTGCAATATACTTTAAATTAGTTTCTCAAATCAGAATAAAATTGAGCTTGTATTAAATTTAAACTGCTTGTTTCCCCTTCATGTAACAGTTTGTGTAAAAATTTCTTGGGTGCTTCCAACAGCACCCAGATTTGGAGACCTTGGGTATGGTGTTTTTCCTTTTTTGTTGTTGTTGTTGTTTTTTTCAATACTGAAATCACACATTGGAACCCTAAATGAAAGGTGAATGCTCCTGTTTTTTCATGGAGGGAAAATAATAAGGGGTCACTTTTAATTGTTGATTGTGGTCTCTCTGTTACAGTGTGGTGGAAAAGAAAACCCTGGTGACCAACTCCTTTGTGATGAATGTGACTTAGCATATCACATCTATTGTTTGTCTCCACCTTTGGAAAAAATCCCTGAAGATGATGAATGGTATGCCTCTCATTTTCTGTTGCTGATATCTTGATGTTACTGTTTATTTTGCAGTATTGGAAATTTTGATGAAATGGAAACTATTATCATCAACTTGGTTCTAATATTGTTTTCAGGTATTGCCCCCTGTGTAAAAATGATACATCACAGGTAAGATGGTGCTAAAGTTTTTGGATCGTAATAAAATCACAGGTTCAACGATGTGTGCCTTTTGAATATCAGTTGCGCTTGTATTCTAAAACACTCCAAAACTGGACTTGAATGAGATGGACCTGTAGAGATTAATCAGAAGATCTGTTTCCATGAAATGTTGTGTTGGAATTTTTGTTTAATTGCCTGTCATGACAAGATTGTATTTGACTTTGCTTTTGACAAGTTTTTGTCCAGAGTTTAGTTGAGTTGAGTTTTTGAAGAAATTAGAGTATTGAGTCTCCTCAAAGAGAGAAGGAAAGTGATTTGGGTAAGGAAATTCTTCTACTTCAATCCCAATAAACCATGATCTTCAATTGTCATCCTCATTTTATTCGTTACCTTGATTTTGTGTCTGGTAGGTCATTCATGCTGGAGAGAAGTTGAGAGAAAGCAAGAAGAAAATGAAGATGGCTTCTTCAAACTCAACTACAAACAGAGATTGGGGAAAGGTCAGCATTGAATTCTTGATCTGTAACTTTGTTTTGCAAGTGGGCCAGATTTAGTAAAGACCTTCAGGTCACTATTTTATCAACTATTTGATTGTATAGGCATTTGCTCTTGGGTAATGTGTAGGTCTAAATTAAGGTTCAAGATAAAATGGAAAAAAACTCAGAAATTAATTTGTATTTGCATTAGGTACCAGTGCAATTGAGCTTTTGGTTTCTTTGTTTGAACAGAGTTGATTTAAAGTAGCATTAAATGAAAGTTTTAATGATATTAAAGTGTCTAAATAATCTGTGATGCTCAGAGCAAGTTTTTGTATAGGCTATATTATCCTACTGGTATTTTTAACCAGAAGTAACTAAATGAACTGAAATTGAGCACATTTTCTCTTGACAAATTGGTATACATTGTCATTATTTGATGAGCATTTTTCCTTGTGTTCATTGACTAAGAGCCCATTATGTAATAAATAAATTGCTTTGTGATAGACAACTGCCCACAGATAATGATGAGCTCCTGTGTAACACCATTGACCCCCACAGATAATGATGAGCTCCTGTGTAACACCATTGTACTGTGTTTTTCTGTTAAAAAAAATAGTTTTCTCATTTGTTGCTGTTCTCATATTCATGATAGATAATGGCAAATTGTCTTCCTGGGTTGTAAGAAAGTATTTCTTGAAAAAATGTGTAGAATAATATGCTTGGTGATCAAATGATGGAAAAAATTATTTTACTGGGCTATTGCAAAGTCTTGTGATTTTTTGGTGGCAAGTAGATAAATTATTTGGGAGCCAATGATGAATTAAAGTACTCTATTTTAAAGTTTATCAACCACTAATTATTTGTAGGGTATGGCTTGTGTTGGGCGGACTAAGATTTGCTCCATTGTGCCTCCAAACCACTTTGGACCAATCCCTGGAGTTCCTGTAGGATCTTGTTGGAAGTTCAGAGTTCAGGTTTGAGTTCTTTTTTAAGCATTGTATTGGTATTATCTGAAGTGAAGGAGAAAAATTCTCCAAAAACTTCTTCCATTTTTAAAGCTTATACACAGAATTTATTTTCTGTGGCTTTTTGAAGGTTAAAATGGGTAGTCTTACCTTTTAACTCCCATAAGTGGCTGTGAGAGAATTTCTCCTCAAAAAAATCAATATGATATCAACTAGACAAGTGATGAGAATAAAGAAAATATGAATCAGGGGATTATTAGTTGATCCAATACCAAATTCTCCAAACTATCATTGTTAGAATTGTATCATAGAGAGTGATGAGAATTACCGATGAGATCTTGGGAATGAAAGGGTTAAACTTCTACTGTAGATGCCACTTTTGGAAAGTGGCTTGGTAGGCTGGATAATCATTTGTCATGTTGTAGATTTCAACTCAAATAGTGAGAAATTAAACATGGTGTTCATAAACAGCTTCTGCTTTGGTATTGGGCCTCATCTGTTTTTATGAAATTTATGCTCTAATTTTAAATTATGTGGTGTGAGTTAAGCCACGCTTTAAGGTGTTATGCATTGGGTAAGTGGCAAGATTGCTCAGTAACATTCAAAATGGTGGCAGCTGAAAATTAAATTTGAAGTTTGGGTTACTCTTTGGACTCTCAAAACATTACTACTGTCTTAATTTCTTAAATATATATATATTTTCTAATGGTAGAAATAGAAATTGTTTGGTCTTTGAAGCATAATTGCTCTTTCATTCAGAGTTACTTTACATAGAAACTCAGAGTGAATAAATATTTTTCAATTTTGTTGTGTACATTATGTTTACATTGTATATTTTGTGTGTATATGTAATTTTTGTCTTTTGTCAGCATTTTGATTGCTTGTGTAAGTGAGATCACTGGGAATTATTTATTAAGTAGTTTACTGTTGATGGACACATGGAAGTCCACAGCATAAGGCTAACCAGTCAGTTGATGTTTGGTCTGTTTTTAGGTTAGTGAAGCTGGGATTCACCGTCCACATGTCAGTGGCATTCATGGCAGGGATGGTGATGGAGCCTACTCTATTGTGCTGGCTGGTGGATATGAAGATGATCTGGTGAGTGAGCAGACCTCAGTTTTGATTAATTATTGAATTGATTAGTTGTTATGGTTTATAGGAAGTTCCTCTTTCATATCTAATGAGATTTCCTCTTTTTGTGACCAGTATAAAACCTGAAACTTATCATATTGAAAGGTCCAAATATATAAGGGTGGCAAAGGATTTGGTGAATCAGTGGACTACAAATATAATATATCATCAAATTAATTTGTTGCTATAACTCATAGGAAGTGCCCACTCCATCTAATGAGATTTCCTCACTATTTTCTGACCAATACATTAAACTTACCAGTGAAATTTCCAAAAAGCATCTGATGAGTCTCAGGGCTGAGAGGAAGTGCCATGTCATACCAGCCACAAACCATTTTTTGCAAGTATTTATAAAACTTGCAACACTTAATAATACTGAAAGGTCATACCATAAAAACCAGTGTATAAGTGACACTCGCAGATAATTTGGAAAAAAAGTTTTGAAAAAAAAAATTAAATTAAATTCCACAGATTAATGAGGTTAAAAAACATTTTCATGATTGATTTGGATTTTAAATTGGAGAAAGTTGTTATATCTGGGTGAAAGAGGCTTGACTGACTAGAGAAAGATCACTACCATTTTAAGTTAGATTTTTGTAATATAAGGAGGATCATCACAGTTACAAATTTATGCAAGCACAGTAAATTTAGCTCCACTGATTCAATCTTTTTGGGTAGGACAATGGAGAGGAATTCTTTTACACTGGAAGTGGTGGTAGAGATCTTTCTGGAAATAAAAGAACAGCTGAACAGTCATGTGATCAAACATTAACAAAAATGAACAGGTAATGCTGGCAAGAGGGCTTTCTAAAGAAAGCTGATTTTTTGTCCAAAATAAGGAACATAATGCATGTATTGAATAGGATAACCTACATGTTACCCTGGTTATTAACCAAAAAAAGCACATGTTTCCAATCTGTTTCAGGGCACTGGCAAAAAATTGTGCTGCTCCATTAAATGATAAAGATGGAGCAGAAGCTAAAAACTGGAAAGAAGGAAAAGCTGTGAGGGTGGTATGGTCTAAATTTGATTTTTCCACAACTGTGAGAAAAGTTTCCAAAAATAAATGTTTGCTGTTCTTGTTGAGATTACTTGTAAAAGGGGAGAGTGCCATAGAGAGAACTTGGCATGAGCTCAGAGAACAATGCTTATTTCTTATAACTATGAATTTATAACTGTTTTATTGGGAAAAAAATAGTGCACAACCAAGAAACATGTTGGATTTTAGCAAAAAAATCATGAAATTTAAAAAGAAACCACATTTTGACCAGGGGATGTGATGAATTGATCTCCACAGATAAGCTGTTGTTAACTAGATTTTAACTAATTAGAGGAGAACAAGTGTGGACGAATTCAGCCTTTTGCAGGGATTGAACTATAATGGCCAACCTGTATCTGAAAGGCAACAAGGGATGAATCTTCTTTCAAGCCCCACATTGAGTCAACCTAGTCTTTCTTAAATTACAGAATAATTAATTGCAGTTAAACTGTGAACATCACTTCTTCTCTTGTTAGAGTTTTATCTGAATTCATACTCTTTATATATGACCACATAACAGGTTAGAAGTGCTAAGCTGGCAAAACACTCCAAACATGCACCAGCAGATGGAAATCGCTATGATGGCATATATAAGGTAGTAGAGCATATATGTTCACAGAAACACTATAGGGTATGACTAACTGCAGTCTTGGAAAGATTTCCAAGCCATTTGATCTTTAAATCTTTAACTTAGTGTTTCTTTCCATGTAACCAAATTTTTGTTTTTACCACATTTTGATGTCATTTGTGGTATATTATTGAACAAACACATGTCAATAGGGAATGTATTGATTGAATAGATATATTTTTTGGCCTTTCATTTTCATGTAATTGCATTGAACAACTCCTTTGACAATCTGCATTTGATTGACAGGTTGTGAAATACTGGCCAGAGAAGGGGAAATCAGGATTTATTGTTTGGAGATACTTGTTACGCAGAGATGATGAGGTAGAGATAGTTTATGCATTGAATGATAATAAAAGTTCACTGTGGATCTTGTATAGAATCCCCAACATGAGGAAAAACAATGTTCCTGTATAGTCAATTGATGCTACAAAGGATGGAATTTCCTCTATTTAACTTTTGTTCAATAAGGCCATGCCCATAAAATGATTCCTCACTTCTGCAAATTCATTAAACTTGAACAGTTCTTATGACAAATTTATTTAGACCCCAGCACCATGGACAAAGGAGGGCAAGAAATTAATTGAAGAACATGGCTTGAAGATGGTGGTAAGTGAACTTTATATGCTAAACATTTTTGTGATTTTTTCACTAAGCAAAAACAATAGCCATTCATTTTGGGTTTAGAGAGGAAAGCATATTTCATGTTGATGATCACTATTGTGCAGATACAACTATGCGACTCTTGATAACTTGAACCTTCAATGACCAAAAAATAATATTGAGTTATAAGTTATAAAATTATATTTAAAATATGATTACCAAGGGACACAAAGTTAACACAAGTTTTTCATTAAAGTGAGTTTGAACTATCAGGATTCATGTATCAAGGTTCTACTTATATCTTGTTCAGACTGAATCTCTTACCATGATTGAATTTTGTCTCTGGTGTGTTCTTTTGACTCAATTTTCAGTTATGTTTGAATTATAATTGCTGTTTAGACTAACATTTTGTCAATATTATCAGTATCCTGAAGGATTTTTGGAGGCACAAGCCAAAAAAGAAGAGGAAAAAAAGAAACAGCAGAAAGAAAAAGATGAGGAAAAGGAAACAGGGAAAGGAAAGGGGAAAGGCAAGGGTAAAAGGAAACGAGATAAAGGTTAGTTTAACATTATTTAACTGTCAAGCAGTCAATAGGCAATTTCTGAAACTAAGTAAATAAATAAACAAACAGGGCAGAGAACTCTTTTCTGATTTCAATGTCCTGTAAAAAAAAATTATGCTTAACATATTCCAGATAAATGTAAACTTTTTCTGAACTATTTTTAATCTTAATCACAAAAATTAAACCAAAACTGTGTGAAGAAATAATTTTTATTCCAATTTTTTAAAAAATTTTATCATTATGGGATTTGTATATATGCTATTGTTATATATTATTTTACATTACATTATTGTAAATAAAGATGTAATTCAGTCCACAGCTGTATCTGTCTAAGCCTTTTAGTGAACTGGAGTTAGGATATTCAATGTTCATTGTACTTATTTTCATGTCTTAACTTTTGTGTCAACTTATAGCTTGTCTGGAGTTGCTTTCCAGTTGGGGATGCTTGAATTTACTTGAATTTAAAATATCTCTAAACAGGGGGGTGAATTGATAAGTTACATCATTGATCAAGCAATCAATTTAATTAAAAAAGATGAAAAGGAGTGGATGTTTCAATGAGCAAATAAGCAAATAATGATAATCTTGAATAAGTGTTGCAACATAAATGTACACAGCATTTATTTGTCAAAACATTTCTCATGTGTTGAGAGTTATTTTCTCTCTTTAATATGTATGTTGAAAGGAAGCTTTCATAATCTAATATTAACCCTTAAACTCCCACAACTGATTACTAAGAATTGTGTAGTTAGACAGTAAGGAGAATTTCTAGTAAGTGAGATCTTGAGAGTGAAAGGGTTCAGGGTGAAACTTCAGCTGCAGAGAATTGTCTTTAGTTTTTCTTCTTTCTCTTTTATTTGTTCTACTCTTGTCACTTTAACTCCTGTATTTAATACTAAGGTGAAGTGAGCCCAACCAAATCACCTCCAGCAAAGAAAAGAAGCTATAAGTTGCCAGAAAAGACGAAAGAATTGCTTGATGCTGATACAATAAACACCAAACTCTGGAGTGAAGTTACCAGTGGATTACAAGACTACCCTGTTAGTATTTCTTACAAGCCATTTGTTATCATATTGATAGTGTTATTAATGATAGTTAAAGACATTTTGACAGATTTGATTACAAAGATAAAACTACTATTGTGAGAGTAGACCTTCATCATCATTCCATGCCTGTACACTTTTCTCTTACTGTTGTTTATTTTGTTATTTTATATTTTGATGAAGAAGTCGCTACAAATCTTTAAATTCATTCACAGACATTTGTTCAAAAGGTGGAAGAGGCATTCACATGCATTTGCTGTCAAGACATTGTATGTGAACCTATAACTACAAAATGTCTTCATAATATCTGTAAGGTAAGTTTTTTCCTTTTTTTTTTTACAGCAAGTTATGTAAAATAGTTATTAGTTATGTACTTAGGTAGTAATTAATATTCCAAGATTTTGGCTTCCTGCAGTATTTGTGAAACTCTTAGAAACATTTAGCACAGATGAGTCTTGCAATGGTAGCCCTCTGAGGAAATCTAAATGACACCCTGAAACTAATCTGAGTAAGGTCTTATCAAGGAGGAAAAAAGCAAGGCCCCATTCTGTCAGTTAAGAAACCTTCTGTTCCTCTTTACCAGGACTGGAGTGTTAATGATTTCTGCCAAATATGATCATCAAGGAAACCTGTCACAATTATTTTAAGGGTTGCATGTAATGACCTTATTCTGTATCAAGGGAAAGTCGTGATCATTTTGGAATGATCAAATATGGGTGAACTGTGGACATTTATCTTCAAACCTTGGACCCCTAAGAGTGACTTGCATCTAATTTCTCCTTAAAATATCAATATCACACATTATCATTACAATATCACATTGCTTAAGTCACTAGAGTAAAGGAAATTAACACCAGCAAAAGAAGCTCTTGATTGTTAAACAAATTCTCCTTTCAGCACCTTAAGAAATGTGCACAGAACAGTATGAAGAATATGCCTAATGATTTAAGGGTGGAAAAGGTTAATGTAATTTTTTTGTTTTAAATTCAGCAGCTCTTTATTCCACAGTCTAATTGATTATTTGAAATTTCTATTTTCACAGAGTTGTCTTCAACGCTCCTTTAAGGCAGAGGTTTATTGTTGTCCAGCTTGTCGCACTGAGCTTGGAAGGAACTACAAATTCACAGTGAACACATCTTTAGATGCAGCTCTCAATCATTTGTTCCCTGGTTATACCAAGGGGCGGTGACCCCCTCCCTCCTTTGGTTGTTTTTGAAATGCAGCTAAACAAAATTCACATGGCTTTTGCATATCATAGACAGTTGTCTTAAACATGAAAGACTCTACGACCCTTAAGACCCTAAACCTTGAAAACACAACACCCTCAAAAAATGGAATACAAATTTTCAAGTATTTTTATTGTAAGCCCATACTAATGCAGGTAAAAATTGAAAAGGATGCACTTTCCTTACTTCATTGTCTCTCAGTGATTTCTCCCCTAAACTTTAATTCCATTAATTTTTTTTTTGGTTTGAAGAATTAATACATGGAACCCTTAGAACCTTGGAGTTCAAAATGACCTCTATCACGATTCTTTTGGTTGATTAACCATAAATATTGTTATTTTGGGGGGTCTTCGTTTTCAAGTTTTTGAGTGTGATGGGTCCTTGTTTGCAAGACATACTATGAGTGACATTTATTAACATTGGATTATATCTTATCAAGTACATTGGAAAAAAACTTTTGAAAAATACCTATTTGGAATTTTGCCTTATTTAAGGTCATAACATATTGTTCTTTTAATCAATAATATACTTGGCATTATAACTGAATAGTTCCTTATTATATATTAACTGTATTTTATTGAACATGTTAGATGCTTGAAGTTGATATTCAAGTTTGTTCTTTCTCATGAGATATGTACTTGTTGTATTAAGTGTTATACTCTTACATATTAGATGTAACAGAAATTTTTGGTGGAGTTTCAACAATTATCCAAGATTGCAGTAGTTTTTCATTACTTTGCTCTGTGCTTGTTTTAAAAAAATTGTGCCACCTCCTCACCCATTCAGATGCAACACTAAAATCAACCATGATGAGTTAACCCATCACAAGCAGTCTTGTTTTTACTTTGAATTCTCTCAGGTTCCTTGCAATATTTTCATTCATCCTCACTGGCTGTTGTGATTACTTTGTTTTTGGTATTACCACACTCAGTGGAAAGGCATCCTTCTACACATAAATGCATCTATGTCTCCAGTGGGTATTGGCTCAATATAGGAGTGAATTATGAAGTACACTGTGGAATTTCTTAACAGAGTGAATTATTTCTTGACAGTGAAGGAGCAAAGTCCCACAATAAAATTGTAAACATTGGATTAGGCTTTGGATTAGGAGTCTAGGCTTCAATTATTGTAGATTGATATGATATTCTTCAGACAATGTTGAACATTTGTTCTCTATGTTGTGTGCCTTCAGTTTTTATTATGAATGATGTAAAATTATTTTTGATATTATATTTTAATAAAGGGCTTTTCATTTTCAATAGCATTCTTGATGGGATTAAGTTTCATTACAGAATTCCAGTTTCCTTGTTCCTAAATTTTCATGAAGTAACTGAAATGCTGTGTACTCCCCAATCTGTCAAACTCCTGTCATTTTTTGTAACTCTCAAGAGCCTTTGCTGATTTGTAAGAGCAGTTGAGTGCAATCTCTGGTTTTGCTGTCAAAATAAGTCATAGGATTTAAAGATTACCTAAATATTACAAGTCATCGTATCAACTTATGATTAGTTATCTTCTAAAAGTGTTCTCAAAACATTCCTCAAAATTCTGGTTAGAACACAGCTACACTCTTCAAGGCTACCTACAACCTTCTTCAATTCCACCAAACCCTTGTAGTTGCTTCCTGTTTATGGCTTTCTTCCCTCATTATTGGGCCATCAGTATACATACATGTCCCTGCTACCTTTCAGGAACTGAGTCAGCAAAAATTCCATGAGGTTGAGGAGAGGTTAGGAAATTACATTGTGATTCAGGGGAAATAAATGGTAAGGAAAAATTGAAACAACAATAAAACTGCAGATTCACATCATGTAAAAATTGATTTGTTACAATGTTAATGTCAAAATTCAATTCCCTTGAAGCAAAAACATGAACTATCATATTTTGTAAATAATTGAGACACTATGGGTGCCCTTCTTGGTCATGAACCAATTTTTTATTTCATTGATAATCCCATTTATTTTTCAAAAGCACTGGACTGCACTTTCTATTGCTTTATTGGCATGACAAACCACTTAGGATGTTGGGAGAAACATTGAAAAGTTAGAGAATTACTCCCCTCCAGCTCCTCATTAACAAACTTTTCTTGTGTTCTCCTGACATCCTGTATGGGGTAGAATGCTTGTAAGCTGATAGAAAGTGCAGTCTATCTCTTGGAGTGGATGCTGAAATTTTACTGTTTAAAAAACCCAGCTATTGTTGAGGGTCAGTCTTAAAAACCAGTGAAAATTGCATTTTGAGGATACTGATCGGCTAGTTTGAAGGTGATTGGCAAGAAACAAAACCAATCTGACCAGAATGACACAGCTTTGATTGATACATGAAATTTGACTCCTAAGCAAATGTTTGTATCCACTTGTTCAGATCAGCCAATACTTACTTTGCTGCTTTGCAGTAGAACTAAATCAGAGGTAGAAGGCTTTAAAAATAATTTATTCAGGGTTTCTACCAGTTGCAAATGTTGTATGCCACATTTCTTGTATTTCTTGTACTGCAGAATAGCATTCTCCTTTCATAATGGTGAAGCTTTGGTATGGTTGAACTGTTTCAAAGCAAACACTTTTGAAACCTTTCATGAGAAGACACTAATTTATGGTCTCAAAAAACATTTCATTTTGGACATGCTGCATACAAATACTTTTTCACATCCTACAGATGTCCCTCTGTAGGAAGATGAGTGAGTTTCCACATTCCACCAAAACTGACCCTTTCAAAGGTTTTAACCCTCTTTAATGAAGGATTTTAAACTTGCATTAAGCTAATGATAAAGAAACTGTTCCAGAAGCATCATACTTCTATTTTCATGATTACTGGTCCAGCCAGACTACTTTGAGTATCAATTTTTAGAAATCCTTTAGAAGTACAAGTGGTAAATGTAAGGTATCTAAACATGTTTCCACATTTAATTTGGTTGGTCAGACATTTTCCACTTTCAAAATGTTTGTAGTAAAGTTTGACTTCCAACTCCAATCTCATATTTAATCAAATCAATAATGATGTACCCATGGCCGCTCATGGTAAAATATTGAAGTACAGCTCCACTTTTGACTCAATAATCAGCATAACTAACACCATCCAACAATGTGCTGGTTACACCTGACATCACAGATTCAAAAGGATGGGTGTGCAGTCTCCAATTGCATCAGAGGGTCACACATACCCTGGAATGTTGCATGAAAATGAAGTCAGTGTTGTGAAACTGACGAGGCAATTTACGATGTTCCAAGAAAAAAAATTGTGAATCAGCCACTGAGCTGAGTGCTCCTGAACCCAGTGCTAACAAACAAGCCACTTGAACCAAAATCTCTTTCATAATCAGTTTAATAAATGTAATGCCATCTAATTGTTACACTCAAAGAGTTAAAAAAAGTATGTCAACATGCCAAATGCACATGAACCAAAGAAGGCATACTTTCCATCTAACTCCAACTGGATGAAAGTAGAGGAGATCAGGGCCTCAATTCTTTACATCCTCCGAGTTACCAAGTGGAATAAATCATTGGAAACTGTAATATGTATACCAATAACCATCACGGTATAGAACTTACACGTAGCCATTTTCATTCTTTGGGTAACAGTGACAAGCTTGACCACTACAAAGATACGTATGGATTAACAATTTGCATATTATAAAAGCAAACTTCTTGGCAGAACACTAATTACTGGTTAAAATATGCATGACTTTTAATAATACTGCTTCCTCGAGGCTGAAATGCTTCCTTATTCAGTTTCAAACTGTTAAAGGCAATTTTCAAATGACTGTCTGTGGTTATCTGGGATTGAATTTGGCACATGAGTGCACTTTGATTGGTTTAAAGTCTTAATTCCAACTGATCAGATGCAAAAGTAAGAGCAATTGGGATTTGGTCAGTCTCCTTCCCCTGCAGTTGAGCCTAATTTGTATCACCTCTTATAAAATTGCATTGGCTCTAATAATCTTTGTCCTGTTTGACTGTCTCAGTTACCTTGGTTTTGTTTTAAGCCAATCAATTGAAAAGAGCCCTGTCTAACTTTAAACAAGAGGGAGAGTTGCCTTGATTAAACACCAATTACCTTAAAGGAAACGAACTGAACACACCATAATTCATAGATAGATGCTTACTCCTTTTGTCTGACTAAATGCAAAAATTGTTCTCAACATTACCACCAAATCCATGAAAGACGATTTACCCTAGTGTTATATCTACACCAAAAACAATTCAGAGTTTAGTTATTTTACTGCCAGGATAGTCATAGGTAGGCATTTACTGCAAGTTTAACGTGCTTTATGAGGATGTTTGTAGCTCTAATGCTCTCTTGGCGCTATAACCCTTTCACTCCCTGGATCTAAATAGTAATTCTCCCTATTGTCTGCTATAAAATTATTAAAATATTAGGGTGGAGAATTTGATGTTGGACCAAAAAATAATTCCCTGGTTGATATCTTCCCTAATGTCATCACTTATCTGCTTGATATTTTATTGATAATGGAGTTATAAAATCATGTCTTGGTCACTCCTGGGAGAGAAAGGGTTAAAAGAGACACCACTCCTCTGACTACCCTGTTGACCACTACTACTGAGCAAGATTAAGAACATAAACTACTCTTAAGAGTCCTCGGTCCATTATGACACACAAATTATAAAGGCCAAAAGCTAGATTTGAAGATCTGTGAGAACCAGTGAACATTAATGCAGCCTAACAATTTGAAGAAGGCACCTTCCAAGCTGTAAGCCTTGTAGATATTTAAATGCCTGTGCTTCAAGACAAGGCAGAACAAAAGGTGACATAACAACAAGGATTTCTTTTCAAAGTTATTGGTAATAATAAGGCAACTTGGCAAGAGTTCTTTACGACGAGACCTTGATCCAAATGACAAAAGAACTGCAGACAATATGATGAGGTCATTGACACAAACACTTAATTCCAGTCAAGGTGACAATAAGCCTTTGGGCCTTTTGAGTTCCAGGAGAGAGTTCACAATTAAACAAATCTAATGAAGCCAGTCCTCCAGTAAAGAAGCAGCATTTAATATACAAGAGTGATGAAAAAACTTTAGAGTCACACAGAAACTTTTTAGCCACTGCCACGGATAACAAGAATAACCAGATGATCTTCTTTTGATGGTTCAGGTGACAAGTGTGGAGCTATACGTACCAGATGCTCATGTGAAAACTGACATGGAGGAAATGCATGTAAAACACCAACATCATCCTTTGTTGTTGCCGGATTTCCAGGAGTCACAGGAAGGTTTACAACTGCAGCTGCTTGTTTCTGCTTGAGATAGGTCATGAGATTCCTCAATGGTCTTTGTTGCAAAGCTTCATCAAATTCTGGGTCATCAGGAAGTGGTGTTTGAACACCAGGTAAAGCAAGTAACAAACAATGCCCGCTAGCTCCAGCAGTATTAATCCTTCGGGTGACTTCCTCCAGTTTAGGCTGGTCCAAACGAAGACGCTGAGTAATACGTAAAATTGAATTCTGTGAGGAGCCAGATCCATCTGAACGAAGCAATGAGTCAGCAACTTCAGGATTTCCACCAATGAAATGCATTCGAACAGGAAATGCACTATTTTTAAGGATGAGTCCACCACGCCAAGCAACAGCAAATCTTTTGACAAGATCTTGTAAGGTTTCCCTTCCAGTGGCGATGGCATTCTCATTTCCCTGTTCCGCTGATTCCTTTGGCTCGATGTCTTTCAGAGAATCTTCTTTGTCACTGGGAGTTTTGTTGTCATTAGGATCATTACTACTGCTCCTTTTATGCTCAGTACCATTGCCAGAATTTAGGCTATCTCCTCGTGAACGACTGAAGCGCGTGTCTAAAGAACTTGTTCCGCGATGTGAGTCTGAAGGTGATGTTGTACGTGAGTGGTTTGTGTGGTTTGGAGAGGGAGACCTAGTTCTTGGGCTTTTGCGACGTTTTGGGGGACTTCCATTATCCCTATATTCTTTGTTCCGCAGTGGGGAGGGTGGTCTACGTTTTCTAGTCCTGCTGATGTCAATCTCTCGCTGAGGCAACGGTGAATGGTCATTAGGTGGAAAATCATCCATTGGAGGAGGCCGCTGTCTGAAGCGTTGCTGCCCTCTAGAATTTCGATCCAGAGACCTCTTGTCCCAATTATCTGAGTCATCAACACAAACATTTTGCTCATCTCTTGGCCAGCTGCTTGAGCTAAAAGATCTCTGGGGAGGAAGATCATGTTGACGTCCAAGATCGTGTTTAAACGAATTACTCTCTTCGCGCCAATTTCTGTAATCACTTTCATTCGTAGGAAGAGGCTCCCG